GCTCTACCACGCTATCGAACTTGCCCATTACAATAACTACTGAATTACCAATTTTATGGCAAAACCAAACACACTGGTTAAAGCAGAGCAGTATTCTAATGATGGACACGTGAGGAGTTAAAAGCGCAGTATGAGCTGCGAGCCTCTATATTATCCAAGAAGCATAAAAAATACATATATACTGCAAAGCGGTATTACACTTCTTGCTGGTGTGGATGATTGAACTCCGAAACTAAAACTAGCTAGGTTTTTTGTCATGGACTCCTATTTCACCTATCAAGCTCAGTGAGCCTTCCCATTTGTCACGTTTGTCACATTTTTTACACTCTCCGTTTGCGCCGTTTCATCAAAGAAGAATTTGTCGAAGAACTCATTTGAGAATCTGGCTTGAAGATCTTGCAACGACCAGTTTTCTTCTTTTCCAATCTCGGCAAGCACCTGGAGAAACTCTTGTCTCTCCTCTTTATAATCCACCAATTTAAGTCGGTCGATCCACGGTTTGCCGTCCACATTGTAGTTGTACCATTCCTTGGCCCAATGAGGGCGTATCTTCAGCCTTTTGCCCGTTGAAGGGTCCTTGAGTGACAACCACTTGTCTAAGACTGATTGTCCGAACGGGTCCCAAATGTCTTTCGCGCTACGTAGAGTCAGAACCTCGATACTGCATGTACCAAGAGAGTTCCCGCGTTGCGGCGCCATGATCACGTCACTTCCACCCATGATACGCATTTCAAGAGGCATACGCATAGGGCATTTGTCACTATTCTTGTAGGTAAGAAGGATGGCATCCCACCAAGCCTGCTGAACCGGAGTATAGTCGATTACATTCGTGGGACCTCCTTGCTTTGCGACGAGGGGCATCTCAACTTCAATATCGAGGACGCGGACATTCTGGATTGCTCGCTGAAAGTGCAAAGCATCCGGAAGAAACGTCTTGACACGCTTCTCTGGGAGTGCACTCATTGCGGCGGCTGAGATGAGTGTAACGGAAGCTTCTGACAGGCCGGCAATTTGGATCAAGTCCTTGAGTAGCGGTGCGTTTTGCAGAATGTTCATCGTAACCGTTTGAAGAAACGAGATGACAATATGGGTCTTGTCCGGGAAGGACACTGCGCCTTTAGGGTCCTTGGTGGCGTTCCACGTGTTGACCCAGGAATAGTCGGAATAGGGGAACCAGAACCACTCAGCATAGTAGTCATTGGTAGCTCGATTCTCGAAGTCCGCCTGACACTTCTGCTTCTCAGCAGTAGATAAGGGTTTCCAGTATTTGAGAAGAGCGGGGGGGATGTCCTCCTCGGCAAGACCTGGTGGTGGAGGTACTGCCTGGATGACGGGCATCTTCTTGGGAGCAAGCTCCGCATAGCTCATGGGCGCAAACTCCATCGTTATGTACGTGACAACGCCCATAAGGCCGAAACAGCCACTCGCAGCCCGCAGGTGTTCGGGTTTCTCAACATGTCGCGGCACGCCGTTCACATCGACGTATTCGATCTTGCGGACAAGGTCACTTAGCGTCATGTTCTGGCGGCCAGCACCGTGGCAGATTGGTGCGTTGCTGCCGCCAAGTGTGATCTCAACCATGATGACGTTGAGAGGAAGAGTCACAGTCCCTTGATCAATACACCACCGGCGCAGCCTTTCGTTTGTTGTTGCGCAACCCACACGGACGAGTTTGTTTCCGGGGATTCGAGGGTTCCCAGATACAAAACTAATGTCCTGTAGCTTATTAGGTGGCGACTCTGGAAGTGGTAGTGATGCAGTGTTAGGTAGTGTCGTGACCATCGCTATATCAAGCATGGATATTAGGATTTGGCCATTCTTGCCAAAGATTGGCGACCACGAGTGTCCTATTATCAACACATTAGCTGGTGTTCGAATTGATACGGTAGAGTAGACTGACGATATCCTGAGCATCTGACGTTCATATTGCGTAGTTTTGCGAATTTGACAATTGATTGTATATCTTCAGTGGAGCTGGGAACGCAGGTAAAGATAGGGGTGTTGGTGATGTTCAGTCCCCAGTTCTGGAATACCGCATTTTTGTACACCTGACACCAAGTTAGCTTCGTATTTGTTCTAGTGCTATGAGGTATAACTATACCTTGATCAGCTGATCAGGCTTTCCGTTATCGAGAAACTCCGCCAAGTTCTTGACAGCCTTGTCAAACCAGTCATCGGCAGCTTGCGTGGTGCTGGCAACCCCGAAGCTTCTCGAGCTCAATGTGCGATTTGAAGCTGTGAGTGATGAATGCTGGGGAGTGATATCCTCGACACCACTATGGGGGGTAATTTGAACAATAGAATCTGCTTGTTGGAGCTTGGAAAGTTCCTCCCGGCAGCCAAGGCTCGGCCCAAGGGTGAAGTCTTGACCAAGGTCTTCCGGACTGGCTCCATCGGCAAACTTTTGAACCTGATCTTGCTCCTCGGGTGTATACTGGCTCAACGTCTTCGAATATGTGTCATCGGTTTTTGAATCCTTGAAGACTTGAAGAAGGCGTCGATGAAACTCGACACCTGAGACTTGCACGTCGGGGGATGCAAAGTCCGACAAGAGGTCTTTAAGACCCGGCGCTTTTTTCTCAGAGAACTCGGGGTTTTGGTCAAGCTTTTCGACGATGTGGTTTACACGATCGTCTACCTGATGGTCCCAGGCTTTGGTTGGAGGAGGCGAAGTAGCCATAGTAAAGGCTTAAAAAGTATGCCAGTGTCGGAGATGCTCAGATGAGAAGCTGTTGGTCCCTAGGCTTTTAAAGAAGGCGAGTCGAAGGACTTTATATAGATAAAAATAATCAATTTAGAACCCAATAAACACAGCAGTGGCCAACTTTCGGCTAAAATCGATCAAGACATGAAAAAAAACAGCGTAAATTAGGTTGTTGGGGTTTGCAGCCGCCATCAGCAGTGGCGTATCAGAGGTAGACTTTGAGCGGTTCAGCTGGCCGCCACGTTGTGTCCAGCCGCAACTCAGCCGCATCACTCGCCGTTTTCAGCCTTTGCATTCTTCGAGATGAGGTTGACTATTTAGGCTCCCTGCCTTGACTACATCCATATACTCACCATTCTGCTAAATATACAATAAGTATCAGATTGGAAATAATTGGGGATACCGCTTCTAGTTTTCACAAGCACCTAATTTTATATTGCAGTCGAAGGGGATATGAAATTTATTAAGGCATGAACAATTAACAAGGGACTTCAAGGCCAGACGGAGTACCTACACTGCCGGAAAGATTTACAAGTCAGATGCTTAGGCGGAAGAGGGCTATTGCAATCCTCCGTGGAGGGTGGCGTCAGTCAGTACATTCCAGACGGTCTCGTGGACACAGATGTACGTTAACAGTCCCAGACAGGCATCTTTTCGCCGAAGACATACATAACAGTGGGGATGATGAAGTCTCGTCTTTTGATTTGCGAATGCCGCCCCGGCCTGTGAATTAAGCAGTCAACACTGGAAGCGCATTATCCGATTCACGGAGCATAGATAAATGGGGTCAGAGGATCCATTGAAGACTACCTTGTTTCTTCACTATATCTAGAGAAAATTCATGTCTTCTTATAGAAAGATTTCCGCGGCTCGATACCTATACCTTTGGTTTAATTTAATGCTCTAGATCGCTTTTCTTTGAACCTAAAGCTCCTCTTTTATCCCCTCTCCGGCATTTACGTTACGCTATGGTGGATTAGGGTCGTCCCCGGGTGACCACTTATTAAGCTCTCTGAGCTTTCGGGGCACGTATCTAGAACCTGGCCTGGGGTCAGTTTGTCTTCGCAATTTCACTCTCATACGATATGTTGCCTTCCACTAGGTACACTTTGATAAAGACAAAGACGGTGGGCTTAATGATGGATCCAATTGTAGCGTTCAAAAAAGATTACGCCTTAACTGCTCCATCGACTTGAAGATACCTACAGGTGTCTCCCCCTACTTGCCAGACTTGCCGGTGTTGAAAATGATTAGCCTTTCCAACGGATCCAAAATTATTCTTTGGTGGGTTATTAGCCTGAAAGACTGCGACCATATTGTGCTTGTTTGGGGGAATGACAAATAGTTTCTGGACAAGTAGTTTGCTGGAAGCGACTTGGGAGAGGAGTGAAAATTAGCAGCTGGCACATACCTCGGGAGGTGATACTGATGTTTCTTTGTGCAACACATCACAATCTAGAAAATCGCGAGAAACACTCGCATGGCCGTAGATCAGATTCCGGCTTGGGAGAGAGCGAAAGTTAGCTATTTAAAGCCACGGCATAGGTTAGGTGGTGAGCTGGACTTGAGGCTGTTAATAGAGCCCGCTAGGAATTCGCCATCGGATTGTGCAAAGGCCTCGACGCCCAAAGTAGGGGCGCAGAGGGAAAACACACCGTACTTTTCCTCCAGATGGAAAGCCCCAGTGCATGGAGCTGATTGTTTGGGGCCATTGCCTGGTTTGATTATGGGCGTTTGACTGGGCATCATTCAAAGTGTCCTGGGGAATGAATTTGAAAGACAAGAATCAGGATGTCGAGCCTAGGTGTAAGAAACAGCATGGCGGATTTCAATGAGAGAAGTCTGCAAGCTTTATGTACCCCAGACAGGCCGATTCTAGACCGTCAGTCTTCCATGCGTATTTCTTGCGAGTAGCGTCTGTGTTATGGGTAGCCAAGCGAGATGGTATTCTAAGACCCAAGTATTATTGATGTGGCTGGCTTCGGGCTTTCCTAGTACAGTTCATCACCGATATAAATGTGCGCTTCGCGAGTTCCGACCCCCTCGCCTGGTAAATAGCCACACCCGTACATGAATTTTAGCTCTGAGGTGACAATAGATCCATGCAGCTATGGACATAGACTCTCTGGCAATCTTGCCATTCAATAAACGCACTTTCTCAAGCAATGCTGGCATGACATGTATCACCGCGCATTACCCAAGGTCCTCCTTCGATCGTTCAATAAAGACTATAGTATTCCTCTAATTATACCAATATAACAATGACCCAGACGCTATAAAGAGAATATCTTCAAGTTCAGAAAGCATCGCAAGGGCGGGGAATATCCTCCTTGAAGTCAGGATTGCAGACATCTTGGATATTCTCCTCCTCAAAGAGCAAACTGGCATATATCTGGCACGCCTCGCCGCCCATGACTCTCCCCACCTCCTCACTACCACCGTATTTCAATACACGGCGAGCCATGCCCTCAGCCACGACGGCATTCCGGCTCGCGTCATTGAGGTCAGTCCCGTTGCGGTACTTGGCATGCCCAGCTACGGCTGCGTACCCGAGGCGCCGGGCATAGAGGAACGCCATTTGTTCGTCAATGGCGTCGATGTATTTGCGGGCACAGGCGAGTTCGTCATCGACGCTGCCACTGGGTGAGGTACATATATCGGCGACCGGAACTTGGGAGAGAACTGTAATGTCGTATGGGAATGACGCTTCCTTATCGGCTCTAGGATAGTTCGTAGCCGTGGCATTGATTGATGGTACGAAGTGGCATGTTGAGTTGGTCGCCCTGCAGCTGACAGCCGCAACTATTGTCAAAGGGAGACCGAAGAGGAGGGTAGAAGCGCGCATCTTGGGTACTGTTGCTTGAGACTCGTAACTTGCAAAGCTAGAGAGCAATCTTCCAAAGCAGGTTGGAGGACTGTAAGATGAATAAATAAAAAAAGTCCTTGCGGCTCAGGGGATTAGGTTACGCGGCGTGAAACAGTGCTGACAACGCCGAGCCCGGCAGAGGTAAAATTAAGCGGCATTGGTGAAATGGTTCTGTAAGCACTAACCACGACCTGCTTGACAATTGCTAGGCAGTGGCAGGGGCTCGGGATGGAGCCGGTAATGAAATATTACTGGGGGTGCTCAAGTCAATTAAAGACGTCATTGGTCGATGAACGGGCTGTGACCAGAGGTTTGTTTTGCTTGGTTTTACTCCCCGCCAAACCATGTGCCAAAAGCCCCAGAATTCGCGGGGCTCAAATCCATTCGTCCTTGGCTACCATATCTAACCTCGTCGCAACTAACGAACAATCCTGGTCGTCATTTGCACAAGTCGATCATTATCGAATATCAAGACCAACAATTGTTCTAGGGACAGCTATGCCTCCCCCATCGCTAAGAGGATCGGATGGGCATGGCAATCCGCCAAATCCTCGCGGTTCACCAGAGCCCCTGTCTCACTTCCAGTCCACGTTCGAGTCCAACACCATTTCCGGGAAGCGGTTTAAGGCATGTCGCGTATGCCGGAAACACAAGCTCAAGTGTGAGCGGAAAGACGATGCCACCTGCCAACGCTGCCACGACAGTGGGGTCAGATGCCTGTATGATATTATTGGTTCTCGACGAAGAGAGACACCAGGCAAGCGTCACAGCACACGCTTAAGAAAGTTGGTGAAATGGAAATCATGCATCTTGAGAGCTGAAAATGTTGACAGAACCATAGCCATGTGACACCCTCGGGACCAAAGAGTCCCATCCACAGTATTTATCCCAGTAATAGTCAAACAAGTATCGTCAACCCAGATTCGCCCCATTCTACCATTCTACATCCATCTCGACCCTTGTTTCCAGATCCCGTCTCCAGCACACAAGCATCTCCAAATTGGGCTGGCGAATGTCTTGACCAAATGCCGACGAGTCAGCCATCAGAGCTCACTTCTCAAGACTTGCGTGCGCCCGTCTCTGCCATGCACAACATGAGCCAGAACGAAGAGTCCAGGCATCATTCATCCAGAGCCTCTACAGATACAACATACTGCACTAATCAGACACAAGCGAAACCCTCGGGCATCCTATTCGGGAGAAATGTGAAACAGACAGACATGGTCTCCAAGGGCATAATCGACCACCGACAGGCGAGACAACTTTTCACCTCGTGAGCATTGATTCATTCTTGATAATGTAGCATTCCTGACCGACCTCAGTTTTATAGCCAACGCAACGAATTTTCTGCCCATCTTTGATCCGATTCTTGACAGTTTTGAGGCCTTGCGGTTTCGTGAACCTTTTTGTTTTGGTGTCATCCTTACACTGGCTTGCTGCATAGATAGCTTGCTGCAGAGAGAAGAATGCCTGTCAGAAATCAAAGATCTCATTGCAAGGACTCTGTTTGATTGCCGTGCAACTATTGGTACAGTGCAGGGCATGATGCTCCTCGTCGTTTATGCCGAGAATACCTGGTTTGCCATCGGCCATGCTCTGCAGATGGCCCAAGATCTCAAGCTTGACCGTATCTTGTCTGACCAACAGGTCCAGAACCAGCCCGGTGTGTCTGAGAATATTGAACAGCAGCGCCAAACGATTCGGAACGCTAGAGTCTGGCTCGCGCTCTGTCTTATCGAGAGAGAAGTTGCGATTGGAACTGCTAGACCCTGTAGAATACCCAAAGTTCTAGCTGCCGATTTGACGTATTTCGCTCACCAATCGCTGGCTCATCCACCCAATATGAGATTTGCATCTCTTGTCGAGGCAGTTCAAGTTCGAGGTCTGAGATGTGCATGGCATAAAGTCAACTCCCGCTGACCGTTTTCCAGATGAATTCTTGTCCGAGATCACTGCCGCGGGAGATCTGCAAGATACTGGGCTACGTCGACTGCATCACATGGAGAGCAAGTTTGAAGAGTGGCTTCAGAACTGGGATGCGCACCACAGAGGTTGCTCGACTCTTGGCTTTGAAAACTAGAGAATGATATACTAAATTTGAGTAGATTACGGCTATGATATATCTTCATTTCAGAGAACAAGCCTGCGCGGTCAAAAACACTACGCCTTAATCTTCCTCGGATGCGCTAGTATTAGTAAAATCAGCGGCAATCGACAATTATCACGAGCGGTCAAGGACTCGAGTGGTACCTTGACTGAGACGGTCAATTTTGTAATGGCGATTGCGTTGAAACAATTGCAATTAATCCTGGAATCAGAGTCGTACAGGTGGCATCTCAAATGGGCAACCAACTATACCGTTTTATCCTTGACCTTTACATGTATAGTATTCATCACTCCTTGATGCCAATGTTTCATCAACTGATCCCTGAAGGCATGTTTGCACTGGAAATGTCCAGACACCGAGAGGAGTTGGCTACACCCGAGCTTTTTACCACGATAACTGGTATTGCTGACATCCTCGCCGGTTATCACGACGCTTTCTTCTACCAGCTCATCCATGCCCGTCTATCACATCACCCTAGCGCATCATCATACATGATACCAGAGCCCAATCACCTCGAGTGTAGTCAAAATCAAGCTGAGACCAGTTCTAGCTCAAAGAAAATGTCGGCTCAGTGCGAGACTCCCAGCGCGGCTGCTTCCAGTACGCAGTTCCAGATTCCTCACAACTCTGTGGGACGGCCTCTTCTACCAGATATGGATTTCGGTGGCCAAACTACCCTGAGCCAACTATTAGAAACACCCGACTGGATGATGAACCCTTCCTCCATGCTTTTGTTTGATGTGAACGACTGGCAAAACAATGATGCTTCGGAGGCTAACTACTAGGGCGTATTTTTCGTCCATGTCCGGCAGCACCGTGTACTGCCACTTGCTTTGATTCTGCACTAATCGACATCAGCACTACAGGGAGCCTCCATCGGCTCGAATCAATACTTATATTCCATGTCTACTTATCTATAGTTTATGTAATTAATTAATTTTCAGTCACTATTAAATTTTCTCTGTAGACTTTCCTCCAGATAGTCAGTAGGATATCAATATATTTGGCTCCAAAATCTACTATTCACAGAGAGATAATTTTTTCTGCCTTGTCTTTCCGACTGACTCTTTGCAGATGTATGTAGTTTATGGACAGACCGTTCTTGTTCTTGCAATCATGGCGGACAATAACCAGCCAAACAGTCTAGAAGTTGGCCCTCCCATTTATTTTCTTGGCCTAAATAGATTTGATCAATTGAAAAGAAAGACTTGATACCAAGTGGATTTCTAATACTACCTCGAGCCTGTTGCTTGGTCTTGTGATTTTCTTTACCTAAATCCTTGCTAATAGGGTTTACCAGCGGCGGATTATAGATTCCGCCGCTGCTGGATTAATAATTGTCTGTCGTAATAACGTAGGTAACCTCCGAGAGGATAAAACGCATCTAATGTGTCGGATTTGAAAACAAATGAAATGGGGAGGGCGCGGAAGCTCATCATCATATTCAAATTTAGTTGCCTAGAATTCCAATTTTGCCATGTCTGTACAATCGCCAATCCGTGTCGGGATAATTGGCCTTTCGGCTAGAGGCGGTTGGGCACCAGTATCTCACTTGCCGTACCTCCAGAGCTCTTCAAACTACATCATCACGGCGGTCTGCAACACTTCCATTGAAAGTGTAAAAAAGGCCATCGAACAGTTTCAACTTACATCCGCTGCGGCATACGATTCGGTAGAGTCCATGTGTGACTCTGGCAATGTTGACCTCGTTGTCTGTGTCGTCGTCGTCTTCGCCCACTATAACCTCATCAAGCCGGCCATTGAGCGAGGCAAGGACGTGTACGTTGAATGGCCACTCTGCGCAACCACCGAAGAATCCAGAGAGCTTGCCGAATTGGCTCAGTCCAAGGGTGTCCGGACCATCATTGGTCTGCAATCACGCGCCGGCCACGTTCATTCAACCTTGCAACAAGTCCTCGCTAGCGGGAGGATCGGACAGGTGCTAGCCTCACACCTTGTTGGCAGCGGTGGAAGTCCAGAGACAGGCAACAAAATCGACAGGAGGTTTCTGTACTTTAAGGACAGGGAAGCCAAGGGTGCCAAGGGTCAGGTCGCACTGAGTATCTACATCGGGCAGACCATGGAGTTTGTTGCATCGCTGCTGGGCCAGCCTCGAACCCTGTCTGCGCAGCTGCAAGTGACGTGGCCGTACGTGGATATTGTTGATGGCGGCAAAGTCATTGAGGGAAACGTCAAGAAGACGGCCGACGACTATGCCTCTCTTCATGGAATACTTGGCGATGATGTCAAGTACAGTTACGTCTTCCGCGGCGGAGACGCGTTCGAGGAAGGCAATGGTCTGGTATGGGATATAATTGGCGACAAGGGCCAGATTCGTATCACCGGAGCTACCGTCATGTTCAACATGGGTGCGGATAACTACAAGATCCAGGTTAAGGATTACGAGACTGGAGAGATAGAGACGGTTCCGTTGCACGAGAAGCTGCCCCTTCCACTAATGGCGCAGAACGTCGGCATGGTCTACAAGAGATTTGCCGAAGGATCGCAGGTGCCTACTTTTGAGGATGCGGTGAGAAGGCATGAGTTTTTGGACGCCGTGTTCGCCTCAGACAAAGACAACGGCTCAATGCGAGCATTGACTTATTCATACTAAGTTCGGTTTCTCCTCTCTGAAAGTTCGGCTCATAGTTGTGATAGCCTGAGTTAAAAAAAATGAAATTCAGTTGGGGGACTGTACAATTATCAGAATATAATTCGTGTGTTTATCTTGTATTATTCCCAAGAGCATGAGCCATCTTGACATAGTTATTCACATGAGAGGTACATGATGAACCAAGTGCGCTTCGATTGGTAACGTGTATCGCATGTTGCGGTTTTGTTTTGTTTCTACCCAGAAACTCTAGATAGGAAAACATCCATCTTACATGAGCATGACCTTGTGCCGGAATACTAACGCATGAAACCTTGCGTGTCCTCATCCTCGTTGAGAAAACTTGCGGGCCGGAGTCCTCGTTTCGAACAAGTAGTCGAGTTCAGCAAACGTCTTACCCTTCGTCTCGGGTATAACAAAAAAGGAAATTATAGCCAATATGAAGGCCGGGCCCAGGAACACGACGCCTGCTTTCGGACCGAGATTTGCCTCCTCTGCATTAACAAGGTAAGGGATAGCAACGGTCCAGATGAGGTTGCAGATGGCGTTGGTGATGGTGGCGATGGACGTGGTCTTGGCCCTCAGTCGAGTCGATGATATTTCTCCGACAATGGTCCATCCGATCGCGCCCAAAGACACGAAATACAGGATATTCCAGATGATGGTGATGGCCGCTAGAGCTCGACCACCGGCATAGGTATTGCCTCCGTACCAGCCCAGGATTGTAATAGCTAGTAGGCAGGGGATCATCAGGGTAATTCCGGCCAGAAGCTGGGGCCGTCTCCCGACTTTTTCAATGAGGGCAAAGGACACCATGACGGCACCAATGGAGAGCAGGCTGGCAATGACGGTAATGAGGAAGGCATCCTCAAGCCCGGACTGCTTGAGGAAGTAAGCCATGTAGTTTGTGCACAGGGGGAATCCACCAAACTGCTGCATGACCATGGGCAAGCAAGCGAGAAGTGTCCGGCGCCGGTCGACTCCCTTGAAGCACTGGATATATGAAGCACTCTCGTTGGCATTCGACCTCTCATGGTCGATGGTGGTCATGATTGTTTGTAGGTCGTCATCGGCATCGAACCCTTCCTCTTTGCCGCGAAGTCGGACGAGGACATCTCTGGCTTCAGTCGTCTTGCCTCGAATGGCCAGATAGTATGGGGACTCTGGAACAAAGAAGAAGAAAAGGGATCCCACGATGGCGCCAATGCCGAGCTGCGAAACAACTGCTGCCTTCCAAGACCATGGCCCTTCGATGTTCGACGTCCCCTCCAAGACGCAGGCAGAGAGAAAGCTGCCAAAGACAATCCAGAGCTGAAACAAAGACAACATGAACCCTCGGATTCGGAGAGGAGCCAGTTCAGAGACGTATGTCTGAGTGTTTCCCTGCATGAAGCCCATGGCTAGGCCAAAGATGACCTTGGCAAGCGCCCAAACGCCCCAACTGGGCGCTACAAGCTCAACGATAGTACCAAGAATGGTGAGGCTGGAACGTGTTGGTAAATAGTCAAGTTTGAGGCAAAGAGAACCTTCATTCACTTACAAAACGGTAATGAATCCGCAGAGCTTACGGCCCCATTTGTCACTAATCATACCGACGGTGAAGGCTCCAAGCATGGCCGAGACGAATTGACAGATTGTCCAGGCGAGCTGCCTATTGGCAGGCAGTGTCCAGACGCCAAGTCCGATGTCGAATTCTCCAAAACTCTCAGTAAACTCGGCGTTGGCGATGATGGAGCCTATGAGGTTCAGGTCATAGCCGATCAGAATGGCGATGGCCGCGCAGCTGAAACAAACCCAGGCGCTGTGCCATGACTTCTTCAGCTCACCAAATTGCTGTGCCCAGGTCAGGGAGTTTGCGTCTTCGTCGACGGCGATTGACATTTTGCTCGCTTCCTGCTCGCTAGCTTTGGGCTGCAGTTCGAGCGTTTTCGTGTTTGCAACGGCCGCCATTGCTGCTTCGGCGATTGGTGCAATGTAGTGTCGATGAATGAGGGATGAGGTTTGAGAAGATACAGGTTGATGAGAGTGCCGAGTGCTGAATAGAAAAAATTGGCACGACTGGGAGAGAAGACGTCGAGGTTTTATGTCTTTCGATCAGCCCGACGGACTCGCGTGCAACCCGTCCACCCCTGATGATAAGCTATCAGATGTCGTACCGTTTCTTTACCAGACTTGGTGAAGTACGGGCCTCGAATGCGGGGATGTCACCTCCAGACCTCAGTCGACCTGGGGTAGAGGACGTTGGGGCGAGGCGGAATATGAATTCCTGATAGTGAGGTTGGCGAGATGAGAAGCTGGAGATAGATAAGACGTCTAGAGTGGAGAGACGGAATGTAGATACCTGCCCCTCAGTAGCTACGCAGCTCAAAAGCTAGCATGATTCAGTGATAGGGAAATTATTTAGCGTGAACCCAATTGCTCTGCTATCGTGGTCTGGATTAGCCTCATTGGCGGATTTTGCCATGAGTATGTTTATTATCTTCGATAAACGGAAAATGTAGGAAAGGGAGCTCAATCAAAATTTGACACAAGTGCCCAGCTATTGGCATATTCAATTGTGGCCCGTGGAGCACACTCGTGAGAAGTGGGATGATATGGAATGTCAAACAAGGACGTATGATTACGGGTGAGAGAGTTCGAGTACAAAGCAAAAAACAGCAATGGGAGATCCAGACCCGACACCTCAACACAATGAATAGAACGTATGATTACGAATATTGTAGTAGGATAATGCAAGAGTTCGATGTCAAGATATTACGTTTCTTTGGCTGGTTGTGGAATGACTTGACGACATTCCGAGTTCTACTATTGATAAGATATCTCTACGATGAAGTGAATCTGCTCCGCTGCCTCAGCCTTTCTCCCCATGCATACAAGAGAAAAATGCCAGACACAAAAACAACACAAATAGCGCCCAAGACTGACATACCGATAGGCAGGCCCAGTGTGTTATACAGAGGGTGGGACCATAAGACACCACCAAAGGCCACAATCGCCTTGACGAAACCATTACCACCGAAAAGTGACGCGGCGTACTGAGGGTAGACCATGGAAATGTAGACAAAAATGCTTTGTATAATCATGGCAAAGCCGGCAGTTGCGAATGCAGCGCCGATAGTTGGGACAATCCAGTGAATCGATGCTCTGGATGTCCAGCCAAATATGAAGATGCCCGACGGGATCAAGATTGATGCAAAGAGAGCTGGTACTAGGCGTCGTTCAGGAGAAATTTCTTTACCCGCACGGATGGCTGGATTGACCACGTAGTAAATGAACCCGAGGTAGGGAACGGCGGCTCCTAATGTTGCAATGATGTTGCAGATGAGCACTAGTCCAATCTGGCCCGGCTCCATGCCGTAAACGTCTCCATAGACCATCGGTGCAAACTCGAACATGGAGAAAAATATAGCATAAATGAGGCCAGTGTAGAGGCTTGTGAACATGATAGCTGGGTCCAACAAGTTGACTCGCCAGGGAACGACAAGTGAAGCATAGAAGCGGTCAAAGACTGTAATGTTGGCCGATTCGATTTCGGCCCGGGTCACAAAGCACTCCTTGTTTGTTGCTTGTCGTATCATTTTAGCTCGACAATGGAGAATCGTCGAAGGTGAGCTCTCAGGAAGAAGAAGCTGCCAGATTGCACAATCAGTCAGGTGATAATGGTCATTTGCCCGTTTTCTGTTGCTTGTCTTACCAGAAGAATAAGTGCAGGACTGTTGGTGATCAGAATCTCCCACATGCTCCATCTCCACCCCAAGCTGGGAACAGTGTACCCGGCAATAATTGTACCTGTCGTAGGTCCTGCCAAAGACGAAACAGCCCACGTATAAAGCGAATATGGCTTGGTTTGCTGATCGACTATATCACTCAGGGATGCGCCGCCTGTCGACAAGATTGGTGAACCAAAGAATCCTTGAAGGAAACGACACGCCAGGAGCATGCCGAAACTATTCGATTGAGCAGCGGCGACAGTAAACACCAGAAACACAACCATGGTAAGGACGTAAGGTATGTTCCTACCAATGGCAGGCATTTCCGATAATGGCGACCAGAATAAAGGCCCTGTGCCATATCCCAATATGAAGACGCCGAGACCAAGTGTAGAGATGGTTGGAGAAACACCAAATTCATCTTGGATGCCTGGTTGAGCTGGGGTGTAAATGGCGGATGACATATACACGACAAAGGCCGTAAAGTTGATGGTCACGCTGAGCAGCGTCTTCTTCCAGAGGGGCCAGTTGATTGGATTGCCAGGATCCTTGTCGCCATACCAGCCTACAATAAAAACAGATTCACAGCTCCGAGCACCGCGCTGCTCTTCAGTGTGCTTGGACACGTTGCAGTCGGTCGTGGCTTCAGTGTGACGAAGTTGCTCGACGTCTGCTCTTGACGTTGGATTCGGCAAACTTTGTGCAGTATCTCGACATTTGGTGCAAGTATCAAGTTGATGCTGATGGTTCGCACTATGTGAACATGCCGGCTTGAACTCCTCGAAATGCTTTGCCACATCTTCTGTCTCCTCAGGATGAGGGAAATACTTCTTGCCCAAGAGTGTTCTAAGAGCCCACCAGGCAGGACTGTCAGCGAAGAATGACATTTTCAAATATCAAAGAAGGCCGCAGCTGCTCGATCTCAAACCAATTTTGATCGTCCTTGAAACCAAATATAAATTGGACGTTTCTTGGTGAATATAAAAGTCAAGGTCAAGAGCTAAAGCAGCCAACTTCGGAGCCACCACAAAACCTGAGATAGCAGTCAATTCGCGTTATCGTCCGACAGGGAGTATAAAATAAGCCCTTGGTGAGGCCTGTGGATTTTTCAATGCGAAATCACGGCAGGTCAGTCACTTGTAATTTGGTCGTAATGGGGAGTGATGATGCAGACTAGGGCTCGGCCACCCCGTACAGTTCGCGGGGAGAGCGGAATGCAAATCCCTAAGATTCACAAGGATGGCTTCAGGCCCCGTCTACCACAGCTATTCACATCCTTGGCAGCCTAAAAAATTCTAAATCTCCTATCCTAAATGGCGGAAAGTAGATTGCGTCTCAAACCCACCTCATCTCTCTCTGCATCTGCATACAGTGGAGAAGCAAATTGGCCTTGCGTCTTCCTGCCCATCTTTGTAGATAGATTATTATTTGTTATCAATATTCAAGTAGAACCTCGTTTATCATACTGACGATCAAGGAAGAGCTGTAGAGTATATGGGAGATGCGGAAAGAGAATTGCGTTTGATTTAACGTGACACGGCGTAAATGCTCTCTCCTAGTGCTTTTGACATTAACCCGCCCCCGCCTTGCTGTTACTTGTTTGTTTCCATAGATTTTACTAAACACATATGATATTAAACATGCGAATTCCCTATACTTGGCGCTTTTGAGCCCGTTTCATATTAGGATACTGATTATGATCTTAGTTTGTCGCGTTGGCCTTTGCAGCACCCTCAGGATCATGGGCCTGAACCTCGATCTCGACATTCATGTCTGGTCCGCCCCCTAGCCGCCTGATCTCGACACAAGTCCACGTGGCATGAGGAACAGGCATGTACTTGCGAAAGTTGCGAACCATATGTTCCTGGACCTCGTCACTCAGATCAGTATGGTATGTGTTGATGCGAAAGACCTGCTCCCACCCCTTGCCCCCAGCGTCCTTGATAGCAAAGTCGACATTGGCGAATGCCTGGTCAATTTGTTTACCAATTTCCTTGTGAATGACACCAGTATCGGTGTCCCAACCCCCTGTTCAGTGTTAGCAACCAACTTGACCGGGAGGAAAAGAGACAGCTGCGCGATGTACCTTGGCCAGCGAGATGGATGACATCACCCAGTCGGACCGCCTGGACGTAATGGTAGTTGTCCCTGTTCCACACCCCTTGTTTCTCATAAGAGTAGTTCTTGAGATGAGACATGTTTGTGAAGTGATGGTCAAGCGTGCAAAAGAAAAATAGTTACGCGGTATGGAGCTTGGCCTGAGATCGTGCAACGTTTTACTCTGACAGTAGCGTCTTTTATACCAGGCGTCAGAGCTTTCACATCATTCCGCACGTTGCCCACCTCCAACGAGACATCGATTCAAGGCCACACACACTACCTAAACTCAAAGCATCAAAGGCGAGCGGCGACAGGGAAAGCAGTGCAACATCTCTCCGCCACTAGTGGGAAACTTGCCCCAGTGCGGAATCTAGATTCCGCTGCGGTCGACGCACCAAAAATCTGTGTCTTGTCATTGCTCTCCATGACCAGAAGGCCGGGTTGTCCGACAGTGCGGGACAGGAATATGAATTCCTCTTCAAACACCATCAATTCGGCAGACTTCTTCAAGCTACGAGAGCGATTGTGCCCTGTAGATTCCACTGCCTCGGACCTCCTGAGGGCGCAAGGTCTGACCAGACCAGTGGCCGATTTTGATCCAACCCCTGGTGGCTGCCAAGGGCCCGCTCTTGGCGTCGACGATGATCAGCTCGGCTTCCCAAAGCAATGACGGCGTACAGGTCCCGTTCTCTGCATCCTCGACGCGGGCTGGAAGGCCCGGAGCGAGAACAAAGTATGCACCAAAGGCCTGCCAAGAGTGTCGCCGGCGGCGAGCAAAGGTCCGTGACCTAACAGCTACACACATTGCCTCTCGTTGCTGACACTCGCCGATACAGTGTGGCGGAGAGAGGCCAAGCTGCTCACGATGCTGCGCGCGTCAGATAGCGTGCACATACACAACCGAGAGCGATGGACGGGGCACTGCGCAAAAGTCATATGTCCGTTTACTGCAGACTCGAATTGAATTTCTCGAGCGTATTCTTTCTTTTCATTCAATTGACATTGAATCTTCGGCTGCGTACTTGTCCCCGCGTTCCACGCAGCCTCCAAAGACAAATACGGACTCAACCGTGGAGGCTGTCGGTTGCTCTTCCTCGCCCGAAAACCCGAGTTCCGCATTGCAGGGGATTCTTACTGACGATGAGCCCCTCAACGTCGATGGAAATGGTGAAACTAGATATTTCGGATCGACAAGCGGCCGTCACGACCTCTGTCGCCAACTTGGTCAGTATGAACCTGGCATTAAATGATGGACACAATAGCTGAAACTTTGCACAAGAACTACCCCTGCCTCTTTCGCCTGCGCTACCCTCTGGACACTCTATACAAGCCACTCAACCCGGTGTTCAGTCAGAAGAGGACTTAGAAAGCCACCTTCTTGAGCTCTACTTTAGGTGGGAACAACCCTGGCTGCAAGTAGTTGACGAGACACTTTTCCGATGGAGTAGGAAAACTGGGGGACGGTATTGCAGCGACCTGCTGCTTAACTCTATCCTTGCCAATGGGAGCAGGTTTAGCGACCGTGTCGACATTCGTACAGATATCGCCGACTCCAACTCGGCTGGTCAAGCATTCAAGGATAAGGCTGAACTCTTACTTTATGACGAGTTGAGACAACCTGGTATAACTACTCTTCAGGCATTGACAGTGCTAGGAACAGTCTCTATTGTGAGTCTATTCCATGTCTTTCCTATATAACAAGGTTTCTGCTTACAAATTTGACAGGCAATGGGGCAAGATGCCACGGGATGGATGTATCATGGTATGGCTAACCGCCTGCTCTATGATTTGGGTCTTAATATTGACCCTAGTGCACTTCCAAACTCTCTACGTCTGACTGCAGAAGAAGTTGAGTTGAGAAGGCAAATATATTGGTCTTTGTATTGCGTTGATAAATTGGCATCCGGCTATACTGGCCGTGTCTGCATGATGTTGGTACGTTTCTGCTCTTCAACTGAATCTGTTCCAATGATAAGAGATTGACTCATAATTGAAGGACTTGCAAGGCGCTGTGAATTTGCCTTCGTCCCCAACTGCGTCGCCGACAAGTATTGACAGTGACGCCGACGGCCTGGCTAGGAAGCGCCGTCTAGTGTCTTTTCATAACTCCCTTATTTCTTTGTGCAAAATTCTCGAGGAAATATTCATGAAGTTGTAAGTACATTTGGAAGCTGTGGCTTCAAAAACAAGATCCAGATCCTAATAGTTGTTTTAGATACGCACCAAAGAATATAGCGTCTGAAGACCAAAAGCATGCTATATTTGAAACTTGCAAACTGTCTTTGAGAAGTTGGTTCTATGAGTTGTCCGAAGAGTTCAAGTTTCACAAGGCTGCTACTCGAAACGGGGTTCTTCCCCAAGTTGTCGCCTTGCAAATGGTGTACCATACCTCGGTTATATTGCTTGCAAAGCCTTTCATATCCAGACACCCAGCATGTGAAGATGACGCATCAAAGTCAGGGCAGCCTAGTAATGGGTTTACAAAGACAGCGATTGCGCTCTACATAGGAGCCGCTCGTGAGGTGAGCGTTCTGTCAGACCAGTACCGCGAAGTGTTTGGCAGTTTTCGTCTGAGTCCAATCACGCCTACCCATTCGAATTTATCAGCGACCTTGGCCTTGTTAAGCTCATGTTCAACGAAAAGTCATAGCATCAATACAGCCAGCGGTACTCTTGAGCGTATTGGGTCATGTTTGCAAACGCTAGGCGAATTGTCCACATCGTGGACGCCAGCACGGAGATACTATGAAAGTCTGAGGAATCTGATCAAGGATAGAGGAATTGAGATTCCCAACGCTAGCCAGCAAATTCCTGTCTCGGGTTTATTGAACGACAAATCCGCACTCGAGTGGACAGATAACCCTGATCCCAATATAGCTGGTGAGGATTTGAGTTGGTTGACATGGCTGTCAACGATTGATAACGAGTGGGGGAATATCGAAGGTATGGGACTATTTGACCTACCTCTCGATATTGATCAGGAGGCATCGCATCCGTATCCGTCGTCTATGCCGTGGCAGTGAGATTTATGGAGGCAGTGGAAAGCAATTTGTCTATACAACACTCTTAGCTTGATAAAATATAGAACATGAGCCTACTAAGGAGACAATGAAATATCAAGTGTTTAATACTACTGAGGGATATTTTGGAAAGCAGCGGGTTTGGAGATGTTCAATTATACCTGCCCAGGGCCGCCCGCTCATTGATCAGCCATATACGGGCATTTCAACCACCACTTTACCAATGGGCTCTGCATCTCTAATCTTTGCCATGTACAACGGGGCTTGATCTAGTTCAATTTTAGTTATGATCGGGTCAACCTGGCCACTTTTAACGTAGTGTATCATCTCCAATGCTTCGCGACGACCGCCCATCAAGCTTCCTACGATTCGCAAGCTCCGCTCGACAAGAGATGGCAAAGGGATAGACAGTGTGTTTTTCCCACGCGGAATACTGTCGTTCATTAGTAAAGATCATGTTCCAACGAGACTCGGATAATATGACGATAGAGGGCGAACGACTTACCCCACGCAGACTATCGATCCTCCATCACAGACGAAATTCTCTAGACCCTGAAAGCCTGACATTCGGCTCGAGGCAACGATTACTGCATCGGCCGCTCGTGAAGTACAAGTGTCGTTTCTTAGCCTGGCACAAGATACAGCGATTTTGTCTTGCAGTTCCACTAAAGCCACAGGATCTTGGCCGTCTGTAGCTGGTAGAAGCACATCGCAAACCATCCCGGCGTTTTTGGAAGGGAAAGTATCAATCTTCGACTTCAAATCAACTCCAATGACGTTCAAGGCAAACACTCGTTTCGCCAACATGCCAACCAGATGCCCGATGCCACCAAGCACGCCTACAACAACCACGATGTCTCCTGGGTTTGCGTTTGCATTGCGAATAGCTCTTAGTGCGGCTGAGCCGGAGCAAAGCGCCGCACAGTACTTTGACAAGTCCTGGTCACTCTCGGAGAGACTGCCATGCAGTTCCATGAGGTACGATGTTGGGACCGCCATGAATTCTTGCAGCGTGCCGTTTCTGTGCTTGGGGATATTGTACTGGTTTATGCACGACGTCTCTAGATTCCTAAGGCAGTAGGTGCAGCATCCACACGAGCTCGCCAAGAACCGTGTTGCAACTAGCTTTCCTACCAGGGTGGAATTGCTTGATTTCACAACCCGACCTATTCCTTCATGGCCAGCGATGTGGTTATGTGTTGGGTAACCATCTTCAGGGCCGATGGAGAAGCAGATATCCTACGAAAATCAATGTCAGCGTGAAGTGTTACTGGCTGGAAGCAAGGATAGTTCGGTGTAAGATGAGGGCATAGCTACGCTTCGGCAGATGCCAGTACAAATAATCTTGACCAAAGACTCATTCGCAGTCTGCTCTGGTATCTCAATGCGTGTTAGGCTTAGATTAAGCTCCGGTCCCATCTCTTTCGTCATGATGGCCTGTTGGGAGCCAGAAAAATGCGCATTGGCTGCTGGACACGGGGTTTGTTTGTGTGCCATGACCGTCCGTATTGATAGGGTTGTGGAATTTTCGGACGACCAACCTGCGCTCCCGTGCCCAGCTATTTGAGATAAAATGCCGTATAGTTATGTACATTTCCCCGGTCGAAGTCTTGGGTAGCATACTTACTGGTGCTGATCCGCCGCGATTCCTACACCCCGTAATCTCCCTAGGATAGGGGCGTAGTAGCAGATAGGAATATACTTTCCACCTGCCAGACCAATGTACGCAGCAAAGGCAATGTAGGCTTGTAAATTCCGGAGCGGAGTCTAGGCTCCTAGGGTGTTTCTAAGTGAGAGTGAAAAAGTTAAGTGAGGTACATCCACTCATTGGGGCCGACTAGGAATGTGAATTCCGCCTGCCGCTCCGCTCCTCTACGACACTATCCCCCGCAATCTGTTGTCAAGGGCTACCCATTGGTGGTGTTCCTATAAATATCCATTGACCATAGGCGATGCTTGAGATGGTATAGGGTGCCGCTTGACGCTGTGCTGCCTCTCGAATCGAGTCCCTCTGCGAACAGCTCAATTAGGAAACCGACACGTCGCAGCAGATCAACCGGCAATCACTCGACATGGCTGAGAACACGCAAATTTTGCTGGCTCAGATGACTCTCCAGGAGAAGCTTCTTCTCCTGGCAGGGGAATCGACATGGCGGACGGCACAAATTCCAAGACTGGGCGTGCCAAAGCTGAAGGTGAACATCCCCCAAGCTTACTTCTTAGTTATCGTCCTGATGTTAATAATTGCCATTGCTGCAGGTTTCAGATGGTCCCAGTGGTGCCCGTGGTGAAATTTTTGGAGAAAGCGTCCCAGCCACATTCTTTCCCAGCGGCGTCAGCTTGGGGGCTACATGGGATGTCGAACTCATGTATGAGATCGGGCAGGCCATTGCAGAGCAAGTGAGTCGCCAGGAATAACTCTCACCGTTTGGTTCCAATATGCTCACATCTCAATTATAGACCAAAACAAAGTCAGCGTCGGTCATTCTGGCTCCCACGATGTGCATCCATCGCCATCCGCTGGGTGGTCGCAACTTTGAGTCTTTCAGTGAAGACCCTTTTCTCACAGGCAAAGTAGCCTCGGCACATGTCCAAGGAGTCCAATCGAGGGGTATTGGAGCAACTCCTAAGCATTTTGTGGGTAGGTCACGATCAAAGCTCTAAGTAAATGGGGTTCCGGCATGCTCACCATCGATCTCAGCGAACGACCAAGAAACCGACCGTTTCAAGTACAATGCGGTCATCACCGAGCGAGCTCTGCGCGAGGTCTACCTCCTTCCTTTCCAGATGGTGGTCCGCGAAGCTGACCCTTGGTGTATGATGAGTGCCTATAACAGGGTCAATGGAAAGCACTGTGATTCGTCCAGGGAGCTCCTGGAAGGCATAGTCCGAAACGAATGGGAGTGGCAAGGTGTCCTCATGAGCGATTGGGGAGGCACCAACACAACCGTCGAGGCAATAAACGCAGGCCTTGACCTCGAGTTCCCAGGGCCTCCGCTCAGAAGAAGCAAGGAAAAATTGGCGAATGCCTTGGCAGACAGTCGGATCGATCTTGACCAGGTTGAAAAATCGGCAGGACGGGTTCTACGTCTTCTCCAAAGAACAGGTCGATTTGAACATGCGCCGGATGAGCCTGAGTACTGCCAAAACGACGAGCAAACCCGCGAGCTTGTGCTGCGCGCAGCAACGGGAGGCATTGTTATGCTCAAGAATGAAGCTGGAGCGCTCCCTCTCCGACTGTCGGAGAGACTTGGTAGGATTGCCGTGCTAGGTCCCAACGCAAAGCGAGTTGTTGCCGGTGGGGGTGGTAGCTCGTATATCAATGCGCCGTATTGGACGAATGTTTACGATTCGCTAAAGGAGGCCTTTGAAGGTACTGGGACGGATTTTGCGTTTGCAACTGGCGCAAAAGTGCATCGACATTTGCCTACGGCACCTTTGCAAGTTCTGACGGATCCTGTGTCCGCAACTCCTGGAGCTGCCGTCGAGTGGCATCTCGGGCACGACTTGACCGGACAACCCGTGACCACGACGCACATGTAAGTGCTTCACAATGCCATTATAAACATTCGCAAATTTCAAATGTCCTTGGACTAACTGAATCCATAGCGATGATCTCTATTATGTCTGTTTTGGGACGACACCGCCCGAAATTGGAGTTGAAACCGGATACTCTTTTCGAGTTCGGACAATTCTCAGGCCATTGTCATCAGGTCTCCATCAACTATCGTTGGCGAGCATTGGACCATCTACCATTTCCATCGATGGTAAAGTGGTATCATCCCAATCCGGGTCAATTCATGAGCGAGCAGAGCTCTTCTTCCAGTATGGAAGCACTGAGGACAGATTCTCTTTAAATCTCGTGCAAGGACAGGACTATGAAGTACAGATCGACTATCACTCCCATGACCGACAACTACACCCTGAGTACGAAGCTCTCATGCTCCCCATGGAAGATAAGTTCCAAGGTATCAGGTTTGGTTACGAAGAGCAAGATGTTGAAGATTTACCATCGACTGCGGCCGCCATCGCCGCAGATTGTGACGCAGCCGTTGTGGTTGTTGGCCGAGACAAGGAGTGGGAAACGGAGGGCCAGGACATTCCGACATTTGAACTTCCGGGGCAACAAGTTCGGCTTATTCAGGAGGTCTCCAAGGTTTGCAAACGGGTCATCGTCGTGATTCAGGCGGGCACCCCTGTTGAGATGACAAAATGGATTGATGGAGTTCAAGGAGTGTTGTATACATGGTACCAGGGACAGGAGTTGGGCAATGCCGCTGCCGCCATATTGACTGGCTCTCACGATGTCACCGGCCGGCTCCCCGTGACCTTTCCAAAACGATTGCCGGATTGTCCCGCATATCCATCTTTTGCCGGCGAACAAAAGACGATTCAGTACAGCGAAGGAATTTTTGTTGGGTACCGATGGTGGGATTTGACGGGAACAGCACCATTGTTCCCCATCGGATACGGCTTGTCGTATACCAAGTTTGCTTTGACTCCAATTAACATCAGCACGACGACACTCCGCAGAGATACACAGCTGACCTTGACTGTGCGAGTCGACAATCTTGGCGGATTTAAGGGGCCAGGGCGGCAGACTGTCATAGCTTGGCTGGCCCCCAAGGGCACTTCCAGGCTACAGAGGCCAAAGAAGCAAGTTTGCGCATTTGCAAAGTCGGACTCTCTTGTTTATGGAGAGAGCGCCGAGGTACGGCTTGAAATAGATGTCTATGCATTTGGAGTCTTTGACCCAGAGAAGGGCCTGTGGGTGGTGGACGCCAACACGCAGTTCGACATTTTGGTTGGCACTACAGCAGTGGACGCAAGTCCCTGTTGGGCTATTGAAGCGCCCGAGGAGATAAAATGGTTACACAAGATATAGGCCTTGGGTGGCTGCATGAAGTTGTAGGAACTCTTACTTGTAATAGTTGAAATTCTAAACAAAGACCTCTTCTGGACATTTTGCAAACTGGCGTGCTAGCATTCTCTCTGGGTGCTTTGTATAAAGTTCTCTTGCCTTGCTCGCAATGGCAACATAGAACATAGTCCGTCTGGCTATCACCACGCGATGCGGAGAGAAACAAGCAATGGTATTCAGGTGATAAATTGAGCAGAATACTTATTTGCCGATAGAGAAACAAGCCCTCCATTTTCATGTTCCACTTGAAGTCCTTTCACTTAATTTGCCCGATCACCCTTCTACCCTTGTTGTATTAAAAGCTCTTCTCGACTCCTTTCACTCCTCATCCGCGCCAGCAGCAACCGCAGAGGCAGATTTGCTTTGCCCGGACCGTTCTAAAATTTGATTTCTGGTCGGCGTTGCTGCATCTTTTCCATCAAATATAACTGCAATCTCTTCAAGAGTATAGGCTTTGGTTTCAGGGTAATAGAGATATATATTGAGCAGGCCAAGGATGAGAATAACAATATAAATGATGTAATATTTCCAACTGCGAAGCGGTCAGCATTATCCCTTCTAACAAGGGTATATCCCTAGATTTTGATGGCACTCACGCAATGGCATCAAGCGCAATGGGGTTCGCAAAAACGTTGAGGAAGGTCGAGGTCTGACCGATGAGGTATAAAAGTGACAGGCCACGTGCTCGTAAGTTATACGGCCAGATCTCAGCGGCATATGCCATAAAGAGAGGGGTACTGAGAGCATGTGTTTAGCCTTTCCTATTTCGTAGGGGCAATGAAGGGATGAACTTACAACGCAATGTCATAGCCGGCGTAGAAGATGAAGAGAAAAGGCACTACGGCAATGCCGATACTCTTCGAACCAGTTTCTGCAAACGACCCGGAAAAGGCAGTGACGAATATGTAGCTCACCAGCATGATGACGGTCGAGAGGAGGAACAGCTTACGTCGGCCTAGCAAATCAACAGAGAATGCTGCGCCCACTGCCCAAATCAGGTTCCATATTTGCAGAAAGCCGTTGATCAATGTTTGGTTGGTTACACTTGTGATGCCGGCCTTGTTGAGAACCGTGGTGAGGTAGAATGCGACAACGCCATTACCACACCAGTTATGAAAGATGCCCAAGGTCACCGTGATGTAGAAACGGTGCTTGGTTCCCCTAGTCGAGAATAAATCACGCCAGCCCACGCTCTCTTTGACCTGCTTTTCCAGAGCCAGGGTAGCAACAATCTCTTCGAGCTCAATGGCCAAGAGTTCGTCATCTTTCCCGCCGGTATGGTACTTTGAGAGGACCTCTTTGGCCTTGTCCACCTTTCCAATGGAGACGTAGTATCGAGGACTCTCAGGAGAAAGGAGAAAGCCAGGAAGGGCGATCGCAGGTATCAGTAGTTGTAAAACAGAAGGAATCCTCCAACCCCAACTACTTGTGTAGTTGCGAGTGCCTGTTATGTATGTAAGCAGATTTGATGCATATTCATGTTAAACAGGCTTCGCTCACCATACGTCGTCCATGCCGCTAAGAGAGCACCCGGGTACCATCCGCAGCTATAAAGAGCTGTGAGGATACCCCTGTGAGAGGGGTAGGCTGTCTCAGTAATCAACAAACCCGTGGAAATGCTCAGCCATTGATTCGTGACACCAATAAAGAATCGGCCCATGATGAACGTTGTTGGGTTGTGAGCAGCTGTCTGCAGGACAACTCCTATTATCAAGCTCAAATTGGCAATGTATATGCCCGACTTCCGACCGAACTTCTGAACTGTCCATGCAGCTGGAAACAAGACGGTCAGTGAACCTAAATTTGTGACGCTGTTGATAAAGCCCAACCACGGCCCTGTAGGATGGTTCATAAATTCCTGCCACGGAGTCAGAGCTTGCAGTCCGTTCATCATACTCCCATCATAGCCATTGGCGGAGGCATACAGCATAATGCTGAATAATAGAAGGTTGAGATTGCGCAGATGAGCCTTTTTGTACCAAGGCAATTCGTTAGAGTGAAGAACAGCAGCCAGTGTTGGCGAGACTTCATCTCTTTTCCCTTGAGAATGCCTCTTTACCATTTTGTTACGGGGAAGACGTCCTTCTGTGAACCTCGATAAAGGTGAAACACGGCCCTTGATAGCGAACAGAACTGCAATCGAAATCGATGAGCACCAAGAATTGAAGGCTTCGAGATTGACTTAAACGTGATGTGCAGCCGCGGAAATCATTTATAGGCATCTGAGTAGGGAAGTTAACCCCCCCCCCTACAAAGCCTGCTTCTCATTATAAAATTTAGATATGACGCAAGCCCGGTCCGGGATTTCGACTTCTCGACAGATGGAGCAATCAAGGGCCCTAGCCAAAGCATACAATGTACACACTACGGTTATTGATGATTGAACGATCGATTGTGTACCCGATAACGAATACGTTCTTGGGTATCAGAAACTAGACAAGCAGAGAAAACCTAATCCACCGTATAGACAAGGGTACACCTTAGTAGGCCTGCTGATGTGCTCCGTGTTGGCTATGGCATCATATGCCACTTGCCCATATCGTATACACGAGAATACTACTATGGAGTTCCTCCTGAAGCTCTTGTGATGTCTCCCGTCGAAAAGTCATTTAGCAAAAGATGCAATAAACAGGGTTAATGGCACAATGACAGCTAATCTCGTTGATATCCCATATAGGCACCCATCGTTAGATCTGACCCGGAATCTGAATACCGCGAGGCGGAATTTAGATTCCTCATTTCAGTACCCACGACATATTTGGAGCTAATATAGTTGGTTAGTGATAACAGCATCATAACAGAAGAAAATGGTTTCTATCACAACTAAATACAATTTTCTCTACAAGCACCCGAAGCTTCTTCCGAGCGATAGCTCTCCTAGTCGCAAAATGCAGTGAAAGAGGTAGCCAAGACATTTTTGGCGATAGCTATGGTGTGAAAACCAATCCAGAAGTTGTTCATATCGGATATCTGACCGATCTCATCTTGATTAAGGACAGCCCATATCTCGGTTTTATTCCCTGCTTAGTGGATTATGTAACCACGTATAGACCACGAGTCTACACTGATACAGGTCGTGCCACCCATGCTCAGTCAAAAGGGCGCCCTGTAGAAATGCTGCCTTAATAGTATTTAATGTATTAATTCGTTCACCTACCCTAGACAAGTCGCAATGAGACTACTACAAAGCAGCTCCTCCGCGGCCTTCGCCATTGTAGGTTTTAAGTATCTTTCTCTAAATATAAAGTCTGAGGTTGGTTTCTTTTTTGCTTCAAATGAGACCACTCCGAGAATCTTTCATTTGCACCCAGGTACCATGCTAATTAGTTTCGTTCTATTTACAAAAGATTTAAAATCTAGTTAAAGACTACATAGGCATGTCATTAGAAACGAGGAGCCCATTGAGCTTGAATGAATAACGCGCCCGTGCCAAGATTTGCCAACAGGAGAAATTTATCTTAGTACGCAATGGAAAGCTCCAGCCGAGTACGAGGTAGAGCATCTGCCGTGTAATCAAGACCCAAGAGGTGTAGGCGTAACAATCTCGATAATGTGTTCATCAGGAACTGTCCCCGCCTTAGTTCCAGAAAATATTCAGCTTCTTCCATCCTTGCTTGGGCTCCTCTGGTGGCTCAGGGAATCGCTGCGCATGCTCAAGCAGAGGACGAATTGGAATTTCCGATAGGGGAATGATGTTTGTCCTGTTAATGAACTTGTATGAGAGATACAAGACTAGGAATATGGGGATGTTGATATAAGACGAGATAAACGACTCGGTTGCCCAGTGATCATGCAAGAAGACCTTGTACCCAGAAGTCAACATGATTAGGACGAGGAAGAATAATGAAGCCCAAATCGCATATGGTTGAAAGGGCGATTTCCAGGGCAGTTCGTTGCGGTCAATGCCCTGTGCTTTGCAGCCATAGTAAAAGCGTAGATAAGTCACCGAAATGGTTGTCCAAGTAATCAAAGCGCCAATGGAAACAAGACTTTGCAACCAGGTAAAGACGGTAGCAGCACCCTTTGAGAGAGACATGAATGCCAGCGACATGAAAAGCGTGATGAGTAGGACGGCACAGTAGGGAACACCGAACCGGTTGAGCCGTAGGAAGATTTTGGGTGCGTGTCCGTGCTTGGCCATGCCGAAGAGGTAGCGACTGTTATTCAACATGCCTGCATTGCCAGATGACCAGGCTGACGTGATGACGATGGCGTTGATGACACTTGGGAGAACCGGGATCCTGGCGATGTTTGCGCCAATGACAAACGGAGATGCCGCAGTTCCAGATGCACTGAGCAATTGCTCGTTGTCGGAAGGCACCAAAAGGCCAACGAAGAAGATGGTGATGATGTAGAATATGGCCACTCGGGCAAAGACACGTTTGGCGGCATGAGGAATCGTCTGCCTGGGGTTGCGAGTTTCAGCCGCCGCTACAACGATGCTGTCAGAACCTGCATATGCGTAGGCGGCATTGGAAAACGTGGTCCAAAATCCTGTAATCCGTTAGTGACAGAAATTAACCAGTATATCCCACAGTGGAATTTACCAAGGAAACGGCCCAGAGCCCCTTCGATTCCAAGGTACTGAACAAATGGCCCAGGGTTCCTCCAGTACGTAAACCCAGTGGCAACACCGTTTGGACCACCTCCACACACAACCACAAGAGCTGTAACATTGACAATGATGATGAGACATATCTTAAGAGTAGCAAAAAAGAATTCCATTTCGCCATAGACTCGGACAAAGAGGAGTGTCGAAACGGTCATGACGGAGCCAAAGACAACGATCCACTGCGGAATTTCCCGCGTCAACACACCTAACACAACAACAAGTTCAATGGAGCAAACTTACAACTGCGTTGTTTATTGTAATCCACCACTGAATGAGAGTTGCAGCCCTATATTTTGTGTCAGCACGCTCTTTCAGAAATCGCCGCGGCCAAAAATAGCAGAAATGAAACCCACGCAATGATCTCTCCAGGAGTGCCGACCACTGTGAAGCCACCCGAGTTAGTTGAAATTGTGCTTTTCACTTGCCAGATTTATCACAGAATGTCGACTTGCATCCCGAATAGACTTGGTTCCAGCCAATGGCGAAAGAAAGCGCCGGATCTACAAAAGTCTCAGTGTAACGGACAATGCCACCGCTCAAAGGCAGCAGAGCACCCATTTCGCCAACGGCAAGAACAACATTGCACACAATGGCACCGATAATGGTATACCTGAAAGGGCGTTAGACAAAGAGCTTCAATGTAGCGTTGTGACTTACCCAAGCAAAGCGCCCACAGGGCCAGCGCGTGCAAGACTCGTGCCTGATCCCAAGAAGAGACCGGTGCCAATCGTTCCAGCAATCGAAATCATCTGAACATGGCGTTGGTGAAGACCCTGGCGCATATCGCTAACCTCTGACCACGAGTTACCGAGACTGCCATTCTCTTCCCCCGACGCTTGAGCCGAGGGGACGGCAGACTCGTCAACGAAAGCAGTTTTGGGCTCCTCTTCATCCGCCATGACTGCTTGCCTCCTGTGCGAAAGAGTGCTGATTGGCTGTATTGGAGATTTTGGGAAGTAAAGATTCACTGAAGGGAGAAGTCATTGCCATCTCAAGGTGAGGATTGTGAACATTTATACTTTCGCACTTCTCCTACTATTACGCACGCCTTAGGAAAGTCTCTATCAACATTGTAATTGGCATCAAATCTCCATGCATCAGTTCCGCAGTATGGTTTCGCATGATGTAACGCTAGTCCGATGGCGTGCTTTTGAACAACGGGAATATACGTGCTTATGAAGAGTTATTTCGTGATTGTCTCTACCGCAATATGAATTCCGCTTTGTTGAGTGCGTCACGCTACGAGGGAATTACGGAAACAGCAAGAACGAAAAGCTTTGCCTGGAAATTGAATACCTTTATGAATAAAAGCCGGCGCCAAAGGAGAATCTCTACGGAGAATGGCGGGTTTTTAATAATCTGCTTGATTATATTGATATTTTTATACACTTTGAACGACTGAGACTACACATGTGCCCACGCAAACCAAACACAGACAAAGTCTGAGATCCTCGTTACTGTGCACAACCTCTGCACAGTCTTGGGCACGCAACGTTCAGAAATTCACAATGTCGTTGCCAAAGGACTTCTTGTGGGGGTTTGCCACATCTGCGTATGGCATCTTGATCTCATTAACTCCAAGCCTTCGCTGATCTCAACCATGTAGCTATCAAATTGAGGGCGCTGCAGCCCAGGATGGTAGAGCGCCATCCATTTGGGACACCTTTTGTGATATCCCTGGCAAGATCAGTGACGGAAGCTCCGGGGCGGTCGCGTGCGACTCTTATAATCGATGGAGAGAAGACATCAGCTTACTCAAGTCACTCGGCGCCAAGGTCTATCGCTTCTCGATATCGTGGTCGCGTGTAATTCCGCTCGGCGGGCGGAATGACCCCATCAACCAGAAGGGACTTGACTTTTATGTGCGTTTCGCCGAAGCCTTGATCGAGGCTGGTATCCAACCGTTCATCACATTATTCCACTGGGACCTACCCGATGCGCTCGAGAAGCGGTATGGGGGCCTGCTCAACCAAGATGAATTTGCAGCCGACTTCGAGCACTACGCGCGCATCATATTTGCCGCCATTCCCAGGTGCAAGCATTGGAATACGTTCAACGAGCCATGGGCGTCGGCCGCCATGGGCTATGGTCCCGGCCGCATGGCGCCGGGCCGCACGTCGGACCGGACCAGGTCGCCCGAGGGGGACAGCGCGCGTGAGCCGTGGCTTGCCGGGCATACGCTGCTGATTGCTCATGGTCTGGCTGTGCGTGCATATCGCCGCACTGGTCAAGGCGGCGAGATTGGCATTGTACTCAATGGCGACTTTGCGTACCCCTGGGACGCCGACGATCCGGCCGACGTCGAGGCTGCCACGCGTAGCATCGAGTTTGTCATTTCGTGGTTTGCAGACCCAATCTACTTGGGCGACTATCCGGCTTCGATGCGTGCGCAGCTCGGAGATCGACTGCCGCAGTTCACCGACGAGGAGCGCGAGCTTGTGCTGGGATCCAACGACTTCTATGGCATGAATCACTACACGTCCGTATACGTCCGCCACAAGCCGAGGTCAGCTAGACCGGCCGAGGAAGACCTACAGGGTCATGTTGATGTCTTGACCGAAAACAAAGCGGGCGAGCCGATCGGGCCAGAGACGCAGTTACCCTCGATGCGACCTCATCCGCGTGGTTTCCGTGATCTGCTGGTATGGGTCAGCAGGCGATATCATGGGCCCAAGATTTACGTCACGGAGAACGGCACAAGTATCAAGGGTGAAAAGGATTTGCAAAGGGCAGAGGCGCTACACGATGAATTTCGTGTCGACTATTTCAGAAACTATGTCCACGCTATGGCGGATGCGGTTCGAGAGGACAAAGTCGATGTGCGTGGCTACATGGCATGGTCATTACTGGACAATTTCGAGTGGACCCAAGGATACAGGGTCAAATTTGGCACTGTCTTTGTCGACTTCAGAGATCATCTGAAGCGGTACCCGAAAAATAGTGCAAGGTCATTGGAGTTTCTGTTTAACAGTCTTATTAAGACGAGTGGTGCTCAATAGTTTTATGCCGAGGTACCTAATTAGTGTAGATAGGGCCTCGCGTAAAGACTACTTTCCAATTACGTTTTAACCTCCGTATTTAACTGTCCATACCGATTTTCATAAAACTCAAGGCTTAGACTAGGTTAACCGTACCAACTCGTATTTGTGAGTTGGTAGATATCAATCGGAGGAAACTAGCTCAAGCAAAATGTCGTGATATATGAAAACACATAGCTTATTTAGGGTGGAATTACCTCAAATAGGTTGGGATTTTGCACTCATGTTATCTTGAGGGTTTTGTCTTGAGGGTTTTGAACTTTGGCACAGTTCAAGGGGCTAAAATCTCCTTTTTTTGATAGACTAGAATAACCCGCCGATCCAAGATAATTATAAGTGGGAGCGACAATTCCCGGCTAATTGTCCAATGGGTAGTTATCGTACTTCCAGGTGCTGCCTGGGTGATCGCTCCGTAACTTGGATTGACCATGACCATAAATCTGTTCCCGCAACGTGCCCATTTGATTGAGATCGTCTGAAGCTGGGTAACGGCCCCGCCGGCGTAACTCTGGGATCAAGAGCTCGACGAGGTCTTCGTAGCTTCCTGGGGTGGTGACATAGCAGATGTTAAAGCCGTCAATGCCAGCCGTGTCCATGAATTCTTCCAAGTAATCGGCTACGGTGGCGGCAGACCCAATCGGCAAGGGAGCGTTGCCACCGAGGGCAAGCTGCTTGCCAATGTTGCGTGGTGTCCATTCTGGTAGGTCAGCGCCGCGGTAACGCAGGCTGTTTACCATGGAGTGCACGCGATCATCTATAGTGATGTCGCCGGGTGTAATGGGCGCATCGAGGTCGTGTTTGGACAAGTCGATACCCGCGTTGCTGGAGAAGAGGGCCAGGCCAGCCTCCTCGTCGGCATAAGAGAGCGCGCGCTCGTACTTTTCGTGAGCCTCCTCATCGGTCCTACCCACGATTGGTGTCATCATCGCAAATACTTTGATGCTTTGGGGATCTCGCCCGTGCCTGGCCGCTTGAGCTCGAATGGCAGCCACACGCGGTGCAATGATGTGTGCTGAAAGTCCGGACACAAACGTGCCTTCTGCATGTCGAGCCGCAAAATCGATTCCGGCACTGGAAAGTTTCATTCAAATTAGCCTCGGGATATTTGACTAAGGGTAAAATAGCAGTAAGGGAATGGTTATTACGGAGATGTTCCAGCTTGGAAAAGAAAAGGGGTCCGCTGTGGTGATGGTTCGACAATGTGCATCCCCCGGACGTGGAAATGGGTGCCCTTGTGTTCAATGATTCGAATGCGAGCTGGGTCCGCGAAAATATTGTTTCTCTCGTCCTCCTTCAGAGCATCGCTTGCCCAAGAGCCTTCCCATATTCTAAATATCCATTAATATGTGAGCTTAGAGATAGGACTTCAAGAAGGAGAATGCGGTAAATGTCTGTCTTAGAAGATGTGCCCTCAACTTACTTATACACGACTTCCATGTACTCATTCGCAATTTCGTATCTCTTGTCATGCTCGACAAGTGGTATTCCCACCTTGCATGGGTCAGTAAAATCCTCAGCATTGCTTGAAGAGTGACTTGTACTCACAGCATCGAATGCGGATTTTTTGGTCGAGGTAACAATGTTCCAACCAAACCGCCCGCCTGTCATGTTGTCCAGTGTAGAAAAGCGTTTGGCTAGGACGTAGGGCGCTTCAAAACTCGTACTAGCAGTAATAGCAAATGCAAGCCGCTTGGTCACTGCTGCCATAGCTGAGATGGGCTGTTTCTCTCAGAAGAACATACACGAGTTAACTACCAGACTTCTTTTTGGACTCATGTACAACTCTTCTTACCACGACGGGATCCGCGATAGGGAATTGGCAACCTGTTCGAACTGTCGTGTCGGCGTTGCCCTTGTACATGTCATTTTGACTATAAGCATCTGCTAAGAAAATAGACGTGACACCGCCCTTTTCCAGGAGCTGTGCCAGATTCGTCCAGTATGTAAGATCTCGACCCTTCGTCAATCCTTTGTCCTCGGGCCGCTTCCATTGTCCAAAGGACTGATGACTAGGCGTTATCATTTCGAACGCATTGATGTAAATTCGCGACCTTTCTTGAGTAGCCATGTTTCCCATATTGCTCTTGCACCTCCTTTGAGTTTGCATGGCATCAAAGATTTGGATTTGGTACAATTAATTCTTCTGGTTTTTAGATTTATATGAACAGGGTGGTCCACATAATGCGAGGAATTCATATTCCTCTGCTACCCCCAGATATCTGTCTCCCTTCTTCAACCGATGTCGGGATAACATCATACTTTGGAGAAATGCGCGATAAGAGCACCTGAAACTGATCTTAGTTTTCATGGCCTACTCTAGCTAGTATACCGCGTTTTCGTTAGACTCTGTCCAAGTTGCATAGCAAAGTCCCATCTTAACTACGCTTGCGCCTTTTCGCGCTGCCTCGGCGTCCCATGCTAAGGTCCTTCTTACATGCTTCTTACTTTTGGTAAGTTTAGTAGTCCATACAATGGAAGACTGATTAGATATTGACTGTTCATAAGAGTGTCTCCTATATAAAACAAGGCATCTGTGGTCGATCTTGAGGCGTTATTGGATTAACATCTTGTTCTACTGCTGACATGTTTACCTGCCTAACCCAGGTCATTTGCTGAAAGAGAACCACCTCGAATTATTCTCTCGTGCTAGAAGTCGTAGTATTTGTGCATGATTTGAGACACTTGTAGGAAGCTTGCCAATACTCCTGACACTCGAATTTCTACTCTTGTGAATCCGGGCTCTTATATTTCCCAATGCTGGGATCTCCAACATCCACAATAAATAGAGCAATATTTTTATTGCTGCAAACCCTTATAGTAAATCCGAATTTCTCCGAATAGGAGAGTTGGCTCCGAGCATCAGTGTTGAGATGTCGGGTCTGACAACTTCCATTGCTATCCCTTACGTGTATGAGTCAGCCTACTCAAACTCTCAAGCCGTGTCTCCCAGCATCAGCATTTCAGTGCGATGAAATGTCTACTCCCACCATTTCTCATGCAAGCTCCTGAGATCGATTTCGCCTGGCAGCTTTAGGTAGCCAACAAGATCAGATTCTGGCTCAAGCTCCTTTTTTGTCCAGCCCGGCCCAAAATACTCGAAACGGTTATTGGTTGTACCACTGTATGAATACTCCCAATCTTCCCATCTAGGTTCGCGGCGAATCATGGCCATGTGTGCTCCACTACCGGGCCAGAATGCATGGATAAATGCACCAGGCTTCCCGCCATTTGCCCACGAGCTGCAGTGTTCAGCAAAAACGGTTTTACTGAAGAATTGCTTCGCATATTGCACGAAGTCATCGACCGCTTGGGTCGATGGTTGGATCGTCCGAATGCCCTGGGTGGACACTTTCCTCAGTAGTTGGGCGTGGTACGTCAGAGTCAGCTCGACGGTGTGTGGAACAGTGCCCGTCGTGGCTCCCGCGTGGGGGCCCATTACCCAGAGCAGGTTGGGATAGCCAGGAGTTGCGAGGCCGAAATAAGTATACGGGAAACCCCATTTCCCACCCGGTGCCCATTGGTCCCTCAAATCAAACCCGTTGGCATAGATGGGAAACGGGGGCTGGGTTGTGGGAGTGGCACCAGTTGCACAAAACACAGCATCCACTTCCCTGAGAATGCCATCTGTTGTTTCAATACCGGTCGGAGTGAACCTCTTGATAGGAGTCGAGATATAGTCCACATTGTCAGAATCAAGCGCCTCAAGATATCCTGGCCCCGGTGTCAAACGCCGGCAGTGAGGCGAAAAATCGGGAACCAGCTGGTCTAGCAGCTGGGGCTTGTTGACGAGCCTCTGTTTCATGATGCTCAAAGAGACGTCCTTGATCTGATCATTCTCAGTGCTTCCTGGAAACACACCCCGAGAACCTCGCCAGTATTTGTCTTCCTCCTCTTTGCGATACTTGAGATAACTGCTAGGGTCGTGGAAGCCATGTAGCTGCTCTGCGCCAAAGTATTGAGGCTCCAATGTGCGCGCATCTCCAGCCCATGAGCCCGCAATCCAAGTCTTGTTGCGAGCGTAGTGATCAACATGGCCCGCAACCTGCTGTAGTAGAGGCAATACCTGGATGCCACTCGCGCCGTTGCCAATGACGGCAACTCTCTTGCCTTTGGCATCATAAGCAGGGTCCCAATTGGCTGTGTGTCGCAAGTGACCTCGATACTGGTCGATTCCCTCGTATCTTGGGAGTTTGGATTGGTTGAATTGACCGATGGCAAGCAATACGAAATCAAATGTCTCGGCAGATTTACCACCATCAGTTTCAAAGTGAATAGTCCACTCAGAAGAGTGGCCACCGTCCCAGTTTAGACTTGTGACTCTGTGGTTGAATCGTATGTACTGGTAAACGTTGTGTTCTTTTGCCACCACCCGCCAGTAGTCAAGAATCTCTTTGCCTTGGGCAAATATTTCCGTCCATTGTGTGTTTGGAGCAAAGGTTGATTGATATACATTGGCTGGAACATCACACCGAACCCCGGGATAGACGTTTTCAAGCCATGTCCCACCCTATTATAAATGTTAGAAATGCGTCATGCCTAAGCCTGGACCGATTGTCTTTGAAAGTGAGCACCCTACCACATCAGAGTTCTTGTCGAAGATGGTCAGTCGGATATTTGGCACCTTGGCCGGTAGCAGAATCCCTGCATTGATGCCTGAAATTCCAGCACCGATGACGGCTACTCTGAGGGGGCGAACATCGTCCACGGTTTTATCATCCAATGTAAATCTGGTCGTGTTGTGTCCAGTTTGTGGCTGTGGTTGTGTACCTGATGATGTTTTGGGAACCCCTTGTACAGGCGCATCTTCCAGGTGATCATGGACCATTGATTCCACCATTTTGAGAGTGAGCTAAACAGCAGCATCAAAGCCTTCGCATTCTTCCGGTATCACCAACTTGATATACCTCGCCGGGAAAAAGCTATTCCCGTCAGAGACAAACCGTCGTCAAAACCACCCATAATTGCGTGCTTGTACAACGCCCATATAAGTCCTGGTTCGTTGCTACGGTCCAGGACCGGGTCTTGGCCTTCGGACTATGTAGACAGGGCTGGCCTGCTTAGGGGATTTGGCGTTAGATAGCTCGATGGTGCTCTGCGGAATTTATATTCCTCTGGGTGGTTTTCCCGCCAGCAGACGGCAGCAGGCACCCTTGTTGAGCTAGTCAGACGTCGTGGGGCTTCGACTGTTAACGCCATTGATAGACCTTTATTGCCGGTCGAAGCATCCACGTGCATCCCTGGCTGTTGTTTCCGTTACGGCATGCCTGCATCAGGCTCAACATGATGCGTCCACCTTGTACACTGCCCTTTTGGTTAAGAACTGCATTAGAGAAGACTTCGAAACAAGACTTACCTGACATCCCTAGGCATATGCAGCCTTACAGGCCTAAGACTAATATATCTCCGCTATCTTGACACTCAAAATTCGGGCTTTGAAGAACTGCCTTGTTTTTACGCTTTCTTGGTAGTAATAGCTAGTCGTCCTTTATCCCGTTTACCCGCATGTTATCCCTTAGGTTTCTAAATGTTTTCAAGTGAATCTGCTCGCCAAGTATATCTCGAGCCAGGGTGTTCAGACCTAAGCTTTGGTCCAAGCCCATCATTCAGGTAATTCTCCCTGGCGGTCGAGGCTGGATAGTCATCCCACATGACGCCCCTTGACCTTAATTCCGGCACTAGAAAGTTAACAATATCTTCAAAATCGGCCGAGATGGCACCCACCAGGTTGAATCCATCCACTCCAGACACGTCTTTCCAATTCTGTAGCCAGTCCGCCACAGTCTGAGGCGACCCCACGATGCGTGGATGAATTCCTCCGATACTAATCTCCTGCGCAAGCCTGCTTTTGGTCCATTTTAAGCCTCTAGTGCCCGGAATTGTATCAGACCATGCTGAAACTAGACCTTGCACGAGAGATGGACCTGTAAACCTGAAGTCTTCGTCGTCGTCATATTTGGACAGATCTTGCCCTGTCCAGCCTCCGAACAAAGCCAGGACACCCTCCGTGTCCACATAAGACAGATAATCTTGGTATTTGGCCTGGGCTTTCTCGTCCGTCTCATCTACAATGACTGTAACGGCAATCATAATCTTTATGGATGTGACATCCCTCCCTGCTTCACGTGCGATCCGCCGGATGTCATCGATGGACTGCCTGACTTTGACAGGGTCACCCCCTGCGATGAACATGCATTCAGCATGCTTTGCCCCAAATGCCTTTCCCACGGTACTGCTACCAGCCTGGAAGATCAGAGGGGTTCGTTGAATAGAGGGCTCGCTCGCCAGCGGTCCAGCCGTTTTGAAGTATTTTCTTCACTCAAAATCAGCAAAGAAATTTGTATGTATAGGTTTCGACTGCTCACCCCTCATGATGGATGCTCCGCACACGACCAGGTGTCGTATATTCCGCACCCTTCTTCACAACTGCGTCATCTCTCCAGGAACTTTCCCAAAGCTTATAGACTGCTGTCAAAAACTCTTCAGCGATGATGTATCGCTCGTCGTGTGGAACCTGCTGGGCAAGACCTAAGTTCTTCGCGGCACCGTCCAAGTGACTTGTCACGACGTTCCAGCTGATGCGGCCTTTCGACAAGTGATCCAGAGTGGATAGCTTCCTGGCCAACAAATAAGGGTTCTCATATGTTGTCGAGGACGTCACAATAAAAGACAATTTTGTTGTGACCGTCGCCATGATGGCGATGGCAAACCTGATATATGATCAGCACAGCGTTCAGATCCTGGAAAACACAGCCATACATGGGATCCGAGGTCGGGAACTGAGCCACACCAGGTAAGCTGGCATCAATATTGTTCGGACCTTTATAAACATCATAGTGGCTCAGTACATCTGGTATGAAAATACCATGAAACTTTCCAGCCTCCAACACCTTGGCCAGATCAGTCCAAAATCGGATGTCATTATATTCGGACGTGCGGTTCCGAGGATGACGCCACAGGCCTATACAAATTGTTACACGTACACATTTCAAGACACTGGTAGGGGACCTGAATATTACCTGGTGCAAGGTGCCCTGGAGTACACATAATGCCGGCGTTGAGAATCCATGGCTTGTGCCGTGGTAGTGTGGAGTCGGCCATCTTCAAGGCGGTTTGGATAATGCGAATGACGTCGGGTCTCGGCTTTTGTTTCACAGAAAACACTGGTATATCACTGTCGAATGCAACAATTCGCTCCTGATTCTATTCAATTTATGTTGTGCGAAATGTATAGCCTACGGGGCCTATTGACCCATTCTCAAACTTCAAGTTCAAGGCTAAGTCAGATGGGATAAAAACTCACGAAGTAGAGTGTCGTAATCATTGCGTGCTATCACGCAAACTTAACGCCTGGCCATGTTTGTCAGTCATGGGTTGTTCTTTGACTAGGAATTTATATTCCGCCTCTGTGAAGGATCCATGTTTGTGGGGAGGAACTCCGCAGCAAGGCATAGGCATGGTGGGTATGGAATGAAGAGTTATTTACCGGATATTTCTGCGGAGGAAACCAACCTCACGGTACCGATAGTCTGACCTGAATGGCGCGGACAAGCTCCGTTTATGCTTCTCCTGATTTGTGCAAGCTTTTCCAGAAGCGTACCTGAGGCGCCTTCCTAAGCACGCCGCAAGACGGAGAGCTCCTTTTGGTCAGACAGGAAGACTGTTTCTAGGCCAGAAAATGCCCTACAATGGCTTCTGACGTGATTTCATGTCTCGATGATATAAGACTGTGGTAAATCAAGGAGTTATCCAAGCATGCCTTCACCAAATAGCTCATATATAAGTACACTAGAATGGACAATGCATCTAAGTTCTCCTAGCATCCAATCTCTGCCAAACGCATCATAGCCATGCATGCGAACCGGAAAGGGACTGCTTGGTACAAATGGTACACGGCGGCCGAGTCGCCAGAAGAGCGAAAGCTGCTTCTTAAGCTTGATTTTCTCATCTTGCCCTATGCTCTGGCCATGTTCTGGATGTACTATGTAGATGCATCCAATATAGGTATGAATCTTTCGAGTCCCATCCATGGTATGTTGAATACTGATAAAGCATACAGCGAACGCCTGGGTTGCAGGCCTCGCACATGACTTGGGCTTTGATGGGAACGAACTCGTCAACTTCACTAGCGTCGGACAAGCTGCTTCCATCGTGGGCACGATACCCTTTGCATATCTCTTTACCCGCGTGCCCATGAATTATCTGGTGCCAGGAATCCAGTTGATGTGGGGAGTCTTTACCCTTGTGCAGTTTCGTGCCAACTCTTATTCTGCCTTCATGGTCTTGCGATTCTTGGTCGGGTTCTTCGAGGTTGGTGTTTTTCCTAGGATACATTCAAAGCTGCCAGCTAAAGCCTTCTTGTATTAGGGACCATTTTTCATTGCGGTGCAGTATGTTCTAGGATCATGGTGTAAGTTGAACTTATCCATTACCGGTTTCCCCGGACCGCCTTCCGCGCTTCCAACCCCCTTTTTCTCCACCACTGACTCAGTGCTCGCCATCTCAGATCGACCAGATGAGTTTGGCCGCCGTGGCTGTCTATTTTGGTTCGGACTGCCGTTGGGCGGCACGACTGCCGGCCTAATCCAAAGCAGCGCCTCCGCCAACCTCGACGGCGTGGCAGGACTACGGGGTTGGAGGTACGTAACGCAAAGACTGGATCTTGCGTCAGGCGTACTCTAACACGATGTAGGTGGATGTTCGTTGTGGTTGGCGCCATGACGATCATCATCGCCATTATTGGTTTCTTCTTGTGGCCTGGAACACCCGATCGTCCTAACAAGCTTGTACTTTCAAGAGAGGAGATAGCCTTGGCCAACAGTCGACATGAGAGATATCGTTTAGTTGCTCCAGGTAACGACATTACCACATTCTCGTGGTCACTGATTAGGCAGGTAGTCACGACGCCTTTCATTTACGTTCTTGTCTGCTGGAACGTCCTCTTCTGGAACGCTGACCCCACAAACTGGAACGGATACCTACTCTGGCTGAACAGTCTTGGCCGCTATAGCGAAGCAGAAGTCAATCGACTCGGAGTTACCGCACCAGTCCTCGGCATACTGTATGCCTTCTTCATCGCGTTTGGTTCCGATCTCTGGCTTGGAAGGACGACGGCCATCATGATCTCTAGCGTGGCCAACATTATAGCCATGACCATTCTAGTTGTCTGGACGGTTCCGGAGTCTGCTTTGTGGCTCGCCTACAACTTGCAGTATTGCGTCATCATTCTCGCCAGTGTCATATATGGCTGGGCCAATGACATTCTACGGCACAACAAGCAGGAAAGGGCCATCGCTCTAGTGTTTATGCAAGTAATTCCGAGCTCGATCAGAGCCTGGATTGGCTTGTTGGTATTCAAGACTGTGGAAGCACCTCGGTTTCTCAAGGGCAACTCGTTTATGCTAGCCAACTCGGTCTGTTTGATTGCTTGGACTTTGTGGGTCAGGCGTATATACATTCGTCGAGAGTGAGTTTTTCTTGAATTCTTGCCTCGTCTCACCCAGGACGATGCCAAAAAAAAAAAAAAAAAAGCTAACCAGAGGTTTAGAGCAGCATATGGCGTGTGTCTTAATGAGGCAGCTGTATCATCAGAGAATGTCGAGCAGATTCACCACAGTCCTCCGGTCAAGGTGCCAGAAGACTAAGAACGCAATGACTTGGCTTGGTCCCATGCTTGAATACATAATCCCCATTAGATATATCGATGGTTTTGACAACTTCCCTGAGGGTCGGTTTGGGGGATCCAAAGAAACAAATGGATATCATACCTCAGTTTGAAACTAAACGCGACGACCTGAAACACGGCTTACTGAATGGATGATGAATGTGTTTCATTCTGTAACAAGTGTAAGAGAAAGGCTAGTTTTCTGAATCTAAATACCCTAGCTAGGGTCAGGCTAGTAAAATGGAGTGAAGTCGCAGAGGTGGTTCATGATTGCCTGCTATTAGATCGGTCTATAACAGAATTTGAGCCATCGGCCTATGCTCAGCGGATATGCCATATAGAGCCGAGCCAAGCCATCTCTTCAGTTAATACTCCAGTCTCCAGTAGCGTGTATGTCCAAAGATCGCCCGGAGGTTTCTCTCTCAATTTCCCCTTCCAATGTCCAGTCCTCATAAACATAGCCCTTGGGCAGGTTCGTGTTCTGGAATGGTTCCTTATTTCTCAAATGCAAAGTCGCTCGGTCAAAGTTGTCCCTTGCATATAACTCCGGGTTGTGTGCCCAGAGCCACTTTCCTTGCAGCATGATCTCGGGGGCATCCTTGGGACTCTCGGTCTCTTTTGCATGAAGTGAGCTCCGGACAGCAAGCCCCATGCGTTGTAAGAGTGTCACTCGTTGTTTTCTAGCCTCACTGTCAGATTGTGGCTCCCATAAGCAAGTGTTTAAAACCTACCTTAGTAGCTCATGTACTTTTACGGCGTTGCATATATTTCCCTTTGCTCCGAGCCGCAGGCATTCTGCGATGGAAGCAGAGTCCTCCAGAGCCATGGTGCCCCCACTTCCGGACGTGGGAATATAGCTGTGCGCGCTGTCACCGACTTGAACCACGTGTCCGCCTGGAGATGACCATGTTGGCTGCGGGTTTCGCATACAAAGCTTCCACGCGACAATGCGATCCTCTGGTAGTGATTTAAGCATTGCGACGATCAGTGGATCTAATTTGTCGATAGGCGGGAGCGATTGGAGGAGCTTTGCTGACGAGATGAATGACGACCAGGATTCTGTAGCCGTTCCTTGGTTATCCTTTTGAAAGATGTCAGTAAGACTAAGCAATATTGAAATGGGAAGATACCATTTGCCCCGGGGTCCTAATTCTGAAGTTCTTACATCAGGCAAAGTGATTGCGAACGTGACCAGACGCTTGGACAAGACGAGCGCAATATGCATGTTGTGTCCCATATAAAGCCTGAATTCTCCGCGGCCACTCTTCTGCACGGTGTCGAACAATATTTCACTCACCCCTCCGGTAAGTGGAATCACTGAGCGGTAAATCACGTATCCTGTACTCACTGCTCGAGTCTGCTGGCCCATGGTGATGCGGTGTGATTTGGAGCCCAGTCCATCGGCGGCTATCACAACATCTGCTGTATAGCGGTGTCCATCAGCACGAATGGCAAATCCCTTTTTGACATCGAGGCCTTCGCCATAATCGACAATGTTAACATCCCAATGAATCGGGATTTCTAGCCTTTCGCATTGGTCGAGTAACATTTGGGCGAGATCAGCACGACCCAGTAGGGCGCCAATGTGTAAGGGAAAGGCGGCATGTTCAGCAGCGCCCTTCATATTATGCTCGAACTCCAATGGCGGTCCCGCAATGCTTCCGTCAAGGTTGTAAAAGATCCTTTGAGCATCAATCGAGATTTTTGTAAGCTCCTCCATCATTGTTGGGTATTTGGGCAAAGCAGACCAGCCAGAGGGATTGATGATGATGGCATCACCTGGAGCACGTGGATCAGTTCAAGCGTCAAAAATGTTTGAGTTTTCCTTGGTAGACATACCAATGGTTGCAGCGTGCGGTGATTTCTCAAGTACGGTAACATTGTGGCCTTTGCGCCAGCATTCAAGTGCTGTCATCAGCCCTCCGATACCGCCACCAACAACTAAAACATCCAGCCCAGACGTAGGGTAGCGTACGACATGATCGAGAATCGTGGTCTCCATATTGAAATTGGTCGTTTTTAAGATATTAGGCTTCTTGTCCTTGGTTTGAGTTAATATTGCTTAGGGTACTGGCGGCCTTTTGTAGTCAGAGGCATTGGGCCAGCTCGACGTGGAACTCTCTAAGCGTTCGTGTAGATCTATATCCATGCTAATACCTTTACATCTAACACTGACTCTCACACAGCCTCTCGGCATAATGAAGACGCCTGCCGGCGGATAGCAAAGATCCGAAAGCCGACAAATATACAGTTAAAGCTATGTTGAACAAAGACCGAAACGCCGAGGTTCTGAGTGGGGCGGCGAGCGGAATACCGTTAAAGCCCGTCGAGTTCTAAAGTGGGGTTCATCACGGCTTGAATACGTACGCAGACCGAGATTTAGTCGTTTTATGCAAAACCATGAAAATAATAACAACGTTGCAGTGCAGGTATGAGAACTGAGAAAGTTTCACTGAAACTGCTTTGATCCCTGTCCGGGAAAGGACCCAATCAAAATAACTCTAAGGTTTGCTACAGCAACAGTTCTAGATAGGTAGTTCACGTTCTATGTAGAGGGCCGGGCCCGGCTGGGGTATTGGTGAAAGGCTTATAAGGGTTGAAAGCAATGCATGGCACATTGGCCTTTGTCAAATCAGTTAGCACTTTCTATATGTGAGACGCAATTAACCGGTATAACAAAACGATGGAGTGTGTTCATGAAAATCTCCGAGGACGGACCTTGTGCAGCTTTGTATCCCATATTCCCGAAGGCGTCTTGGTTCCAGAGCTGGTGATTTCAATATGGAGGCACTTGGGGAAACAAATCCGTCGCTATCATTACAGAACCGGGCAGCCAGTTTAAAGTAAAGCTTGTCATATTAATATCAATTAATCCAGTAAGCCCAGAGGAGGCCCGAGTGAGTGACACCGTCGGATTTGAACCAGATGATAATGCCATGGGCTAAAGCAGTGGTGGTAAGAGCACATATAAGGGTAGCAGGTGAGAGGAGAGACATAGGCATTTTGACATTTGATAAGGCACACCGCGACTCAGGCGGACTGATTGAATAATTACGACTCCAACCTCAAGTAAAAAATAAAGGAGATTGTAATGTGGCGAACTGTAGTATAGCTGGTTGCGTTATGAGATGTCTATTGTTTCGTACCTAGTACAAGTTGAGACCCATGAAGTTTTTGATAAGTAATACTACTCTCAGACAAAGCTATTAGGTGAGAATGAAGTTTTCTTCCTAACTAAATCGGCAGGTAAATCATTTTTATGTCAACCACCAAGGTGGTTTAATTTGTAATCTAAAGCAACAGCTTTCTCCGAAAGAATGTCCCACGTTACGAATCGTACGAGTTTATTCGTTGAGCACACATATGCATAAACATCTCGCAGCCTATCAATTCCCGAATCAGTCATGAGGCCAAATGAGATGGAGGAGACGGGCCGTAATGGCTAGAGGTTACATCCTAGTTGCAATGCATTGTGAAAACATTACAGGGTTGCAATTCCCACCCTTTGGGGTTCATGCTTCAGTTTTGGACGAGTTTATTTGCTAAGAGTATGTCTATAATCACCATGCGGACTACTGTGTCCCGGATCGGCAATGAGCAAGAATCAGATGGAGAAGACGGGCCGCAATGGCTGGGTGCTATATCCCGATTGCGATAAAGTATAGAAAGAATTATAGATCAGTGTGTCTGTTGAGTGCTGGGCGATCACTTCCGTCTACAAAGCAGCTGTTTTCAGTCTTTTTCTTTCCATGATTAACTTCCGGTTGCAAGATATCCAGCGGAAGAATCAATCACTCGATAGCGCTTGGGAAAGAAGTCCCTAGCCTCCGCCACTATTGCCCTAGCTTTTTGTATCTATATTTATGTAATTTACAATTACCTAGGTACCGTATACCAAACTTGAAAGTTCACTGTATGTCAAATGAGGTAAGTGATCAGTAGAATGAAAATAAACTCTAGTAGCATATGCCGTATCTTTATCACCTAGGTAATATTCTCCAATGTGAGAAAGAAATAGTCGAGAGGCTTTGTTTTAAGCTCAAGGGACTTTTGAATTTCAATCCATAAATGGCTGAACCGGAATATGCCAATTGATCCTTCAGATATTAGCCAATTATAAGTACATTTTGGCTATAGCTCCCACGGGAGCACTTCCCCGGACCTTGAATCGAGAGGTGCAATCATTGGCGCACGGTCTCAACCGTCACACGTCCTAAGTCGTATTATTCGCATCCAATTTAAGTCTACAGATGGCATTCTAGGGCGACTCACTATATAAAGTCCAAAAGAATGCTTTTTTCCATCACCAACTTACATTACTCTTCAATCACTCTCCAATCTCCAACAAGCCGTTTGTTTCCACTTGAGTTCTCTCAATGAAGGCATTTATACAATTAATTTCCATTGCCCTTGCGGCTACTGGAATCTCAGCCATTTACACATCCACTCTTAGTGCCCAGAAGTAAGAGACATGTTCTAGTTTGTGTTGTATACCAAGGACTAGACTAATATACGCAGCCGAGATGCCCCCGATGTGAATGCTCGACCAATCGCCCTTAACGGCACGGTCGCCGGTACTTATTGGGATTTTGAGTCTGGAATCGATTTCCAAGGCTTCCCGATCATCCAAGTCGAGAACGAGAATAATCCCGGCCACTATTCCTTTCAACTATATGGGGTTGAGGGTGATCAAGTCCTAGGTCTTGAGGATAATGTCCTCACCGTTTTAGACAACAATAATAACACCTCCTCGCACTACAATATTTTTACAGTGGCCTGGCCTTGGCTTGTGTCATTAGACATGCCCGGAGGCTGGGTTGCAGTTCGCACAGATACCACACAGGAGTCTTGGCAAGATCCTTTCAAGAGTATGTGGGATGACAAGCAGAACATGAGTAAGTATAGCTTTCTAAACAGCATTTCTGAAGATGTAATAACACTCATACTTAGGCAAAAGGGCTGCTGTTGGCGACATTTTCCCTATTCAAGTTATTCTCTGGGAGTCTTAGTTTTAAGCAAGTGTGATATACAATAAACGTCTACTTGTCTTTAATTATTGATATATCCACTAAGCTAGTCGAGGCGGAGCAAACATCACCAAATACTCCTAGAGACTCTTCCTAGGAACATTTCCAAGCCTACTATATCAGCACAGAAGCCTGATGAGTGAGATGATAGGTTGCATAGTCTCTCTATTGGTCTGCTTTGTATATTGATTACACCGGTAACTATACACGTGTTATTTGGACAATTCAAGGGGGAAAGTTATTGGTTTCTTACATAATCCCGATGCCCATTCTAGACGCCAAGTGATTCTACTGGTCTTGACACATCCAGCCCGAAGATATGGGTCGATCTCTACGCTGGAATCCTAAGGAAATGTGTGTCTTTGCCACAAATTCGGTGCATTGGAATGCGCAACACCAAGATTTAGTGGTAGATTTGTACACCAAACGAGGTAAGAGTGGTTAAATGCTGTACTTTGATTCAAGCTCATGAGATAGGATAAACACAGTTATTGTTATCATGTTGGCCCTTTATACGACGGGTCGGCTGAGACGTCTAGCCAAATGCTGCGTGAACCCACACATTGTCAGCGTGGGATTCCAGCTCCCAGCCGTTGGGAACAGCGCGCCTCCCGTGACGTGGACGTTGCGTATCCCATGCGGCCTGCCATACTCATCAACCGATCCGCCAATATCTTTGCTACCCACGAAAGCAGTGCTGGCCTCGTGGACGATGCCAGGAATGCGGATGTCAGCGATGTCGGGTCTCGTCTTGTCCCAGTATCCATTCACCCCATTCTCGTCAGTATGCCAATACTCAATCACGTCGCTCTTGACCCGTCCTTCCAGCGGAGCGGACATTTGCTCAATGGTGTTATACGTCGCCTCATCCATGACATTCCACAGCTGACGGTCGCTGTCAGCGAGCGTGTACTGGAGCTTCACGTTGGTCGTGGGATCTGTATTGTTCCTGTCCGGACGTAGCCAGTTGTGCTGGTTGTGCTCGCTAAACTCCCCGAGCGTCGCGCAGACGAACACGACGTGCTTTGTCGAGTCCCTCAGCTGCTCCTCTGTTGCCGCGGCTGCGTAGTCGGGGCACTCGCGTGCTGCGTCGTCGGCATCCTCCTTGGGGTTGGGGCTGTGGATTGCCGTGATCTGGACATGGTACTGCTGCTTGGTCTTTGGGTCCTCGCCGGCTAAGTAATGGGCGGCAATCTCTAGCTTACATGGCTGGTCGGAGTCCTTGATCGCTGAATCCCATTTGCCAAAGTTCGAGAGGGGCACTCTCGCAACTACGTGAGTGAGGAAATGGCCAGTGACTCGTTTTCCAACAGTCTCTTTGGCGTCATGAAAGCTATTGAGCAATAGAGTCGCATTGGGAAAGGCCTAATTTAGCATTGTCAGTCTATCATGGTTAACATCCAGGAAGAGTTTGATTTGGCTTACCCCAGCGCAGAGTACAATACTGGTCTCGTCGGTCGGCAGCGAGATCACGCCTTTGCTAGTCTTTACTGAACGAACCCTGCCTTCCTCATCCGCGTGGAGTTTCTCGACAACGCAGTTGAGCATTATATCCAAGGCAGCACCTTCACCCTTTTGTTCCTTGACCTTTTGATCCTCGTATATCTTCAGCAGCGGTCCAGGCGTCGAGAATTTGTTGAAGCGCAGCGTTGACGTCGGGCTGCTCCGACCGACGGCAAGCCTCGCCGGACCGCTATGCGTCGCCGTTGGAATTTCATTGATGCGCTTCTCCAACCTGCTGTCGACCTGGTCCTGGAGCCCTGCGAAAATGCTGTTGTCCAGCTCGTCTGTGCCGGTTACGTGCAACAGACGGTTAGCCTCGGGCCAGAAGATGTCTTCCTGCGTGGCTGCGATCAACGCCTTGGGAAAGTCCCTCATTTCATTGATCTCGGGCTGAGGGCACCAGGCTGACCAAAACGTCGATCTGCCACCGAAGAAGGGGCACGAGCCATGGCAGTATCTCAGTTCAGGGTCGGTGAAGGTCTTTCTCGAGAGTGCCCAGGGAAAAGTCTCACTGGGGCCACCTAACACCATTTTAAATGGCAGTGGAAGGTTCTGAAAGTGAGAAGGGAGAAGAAAATCTAGAAGCTTAATCAGCCTTGTTTACAATCACCCCAGGGACTTGAACAATCCTACCTCCGCGCTCTAGACACAAGATCTTCTTGTGTGGATCAACAGCCAGCGTCTCTTGTATGAAAGCCAAAGCCGTGCATCCCGAACCCACCACGATGTAGTCATATTTCCCATTGTCGAGGATCTCTGCCCAAGCATTGTCACTAATTTGGTTCTTGGTCAGTCTGGCGGCTTTGGATCGGCTTTGGAGGAGCTTAGCCACGGCATTACCTCACGAAGAAGTCCGAACCCATCACCGATGCTGATGAGGGCGACTGGACTCCGGGAGTTGGGTATCCCCATTGATGGTTGGGAATAGCAGCTTCATCCTCTGGCTGCTTCTGCGGAGCTTTGCCGACACGGCGATGGAAGCTGGGACGAGAGGATGGGCCGAGAAAACTCATGTTGAGGTTGGTTTACTAGATCAAAGGTCTTGTAATTTCTGAATAACGGATAGCTATCTTCTACGTGAAGGCTTGCTTACAGTATTAAAGAATAAACAAACATAATCATAGGACTCCTTAACAAGCTTTTATATATTGAGCAGGCAAAGTCATTTGATCATCCCAAGAGGGGAAGCTATTGTCACAGTCAGCATGCAGGAGTACTTATGTATCGGTCTGGATGAGTCTTAATCTCACATTTGCATATACGAGTGAGACATTGGGTGCCCGACATGAGCTGAAACTTGGCGAAAGTTACAGCGTATCAGTCTGACATAATGCGACTGCACCACCATGCCGCCAATCGTGCTGATCTCGCTTTTGACTGGTCGATGCAGTGGAAGTGGCGGGCTATGACTTACGTTTACGGTGCATTCGGTACGATTATTGCAGCGATCCCGACTATTCTGGGGAATAGGCTGACACTTCTAAGGACAAAAAGGCGGCCTGCACTGCTTCTAGACTCACTGCCATCTGCATCTCTATAGCTAGATGTCGTTGAGAGCACTCAGAGAGTAGTCCATCGAACTAGCCATCATAGCTACTTTCCCTCTTCGCCCCCTGCCAACTCATTTTTCCAAATCATGTCGTTCTATCTCTCCAATGGTCATCCCCTCATGACCTCTCATGCCCTTCCCCCGCTTCACTACCACAGATCTTTCAGCTACGTAGCAGTCCTCTCCTCCACCCCTCCTCCACTTCGCGTAGGTCGAGCAGCTCACTCAACAGAGCCAAGTGGCGGCGCATCATGGACCTCAAGCCCACGCTGGTGAGATAGGTTATCACAGTTTGGTTGCCCCCTCCATTCTTTTGTGCTCCATTGACGTAGGTGCGCCTCTGACGCTCCATCTAGCCGTCCACTCTAGCCCCCTACATGCTGAAAAGCTAAACAACACTCTTTTGTCCCCATTTAAATCTCGCGGTCTGTCTTGGATGACTGTAATACTTCCCTGGGCTTGCCAGCTGTTACAATGAGGTAAGAAGCGGTGACGACGGTCGACTAAGCTAAATCAATAGCTTATGGTGATAAATTACTTCACCAGCGCTACACTTAGGATAGAACGGTGCTTTTACTGCTTGATAAACCCCGCGGTATTGCACAAGATCCTCTCCGTCTTTTGCGTAATGTACAGTGTGCCAACTTGCTCAAGACTCTGAAGATACTTCTAAGACTGGCGTCCTCAGTCCTAGGGTACTGACTCTGTAGCCTTTGATGCAAGTCTACAAGCCCTTCACCGCCAATCGATCGATCGGAAACATGCGCTTCACGTACAGCTCTGAATATCAATAGGTCCTTAAGCAGTAAGGGGCGGTCCGGTCTCAGACTTGTTTTCAGGTCCAATACTAATGCCGGTTCGTAATTGGGCGATGTCCATCGCCGATCATTAACAAGTTGCTACCCGAAAATTCTGCATTTCTAGGTCCCATGACATTAAAATTCTGCCAAGGCGAAATTCCAGGACAAGGGTTGTAATGATACCCAAGAAAACTATCGTCCACGCTATCATATCTTTCCTATAACGTAAGAGAAAGAGAATAAAGTTCAACAGCAATGGAAGCTGCCAGAGCCCGACAACTCAACACAATGAATACGTACCTTTCCTATAAAGAAGTTGTCAATCACCGTTGGTCGTGCCCTGGCTGTTTAGGATCAGGGTGTCTCATGTATGACTCATCGTGAAATCAAGAAATTCTGCTCGCTGTGGGCTTACTTTTTGGCTTCTTTTTCTGGATGTTCATTTGTGTTATACTATGAATCTATAAGGTCATCCCACATTAATATCTAATGTTCCATTTACACTTCCCACCCCTAAACCAGCTGTGGGGGAGTCAGAATCCAATACTGGCAGCCAATCGCCGCCGAGAACCATATCATCAATTGATCCTTCTCCCGCCATCCACGGATATGACACTTCTTTTACAGGTTCGGATAGCTTCCCATAGTCAAAAAGACGCCAAAAGTCTTCCGCATCCGGGTGGGGCGGCATGCTCGTACATTGCGAAGGGTTGATCATGGCAGCCGTAGCCTCCGGGTCAGGTTGGAAATCAGCAAGTGCCTGGGCCTACAGTATTGAAGCAACAAATAGATTTAGTTGTCAATGTAGGCTAAGTATTGCATGAGAAAGTAGATTTGATACTCACAAGACGAGGGAAATGGCGCCACCGAACTGGTGCTAGGTGGAGAAAATTCAAGGAAGCATCATAAAGCTTCTGAGACGATTCTCGAACCGCTTGATCTTGGTCATGCGTAAATATGCGGTGGATAACCCCCGCGACGACAGCACATTGGCCCACGAAACTAGCAAGGCACAGCTGTTTCTCCAGCAGAACATGAAGTAAGTATGTTAAGCTCTCTGCCCCCTCTCGACACCTTGTAAGACTGTGGCGTAGAAAGCTAGGAGGAATGGGAGCCTTTGACGTATGTAGTGTGTGGCGAATTAAAAATGGGTGATGTAGAAGGCATTGGTTGAGGAAGTAAATAGCGTGTGAAAAACAGAGAAAGCCCAAGGCCCCGCCAACAGTAGACTCGCCCGTCGTCCTTGAGCTCTCCTGCTCCAATACAGATCGGAAGTCGGACTGAGATACAGGTGAATACGACTCGCAGACCATTAGAATGCTGTTAATAGAGGCAAATTGGCTTCGGGAATCCCATGGCAGGGAACGAGCAGCCTCGGAAGAGCGCCGTAGGCAATGTCTCTGTATTCGCCCAAGCAGAGACGCTATCAGGTAAAGGAAACCCGAATATCCAACCTTTCCAATATTATCAGGACTCTCAACTAGTTGTGTAAGCATTATTTTCTCGTTCGAAATCGGCTCGCCTCGAATATCCCAGGTATCCGCCGGGAGATGAAGAGCGCAGTCTGTGTCCTGTAACGTGGGGGTCCTCGCGGGGCTGCATGAAACGAGGCGGTCTAGCAAGTAGACAGACCAAAATGTGCATCTGTATTCCTCCTGCTCCCACAGCTCCAGGGAAGAATCAGGTTCCAAACCCAATTCTAAGGCTTGTGAAAACCGAACTGAGAGACCAATCTTGACCCACGACTGTTTACATCTTCCTGCTACAACAAGTTAGCATTTAGCATGATCAAGAGGATTCATTGTTAGACATACCACCGAAATCTTGGACAGACAGCATACTGGTTGCTTGAACTGTCTGCAGAGTAACGGAGTAATCCTCCTGGAACATCTTGCCGTGAATCTCGCTCCACGCTGCAGCACAGTACAAATCTGAAGCTTCTGTATGGTTTCCTTCAAAAAAAGCGTCATCAGAGAAAATACAGGCGTTGGCCGCCACAGATAGCAGCAGCCATCTCGGAAGTGAGCCTTCCAAAAATCGATGGCGAAAGCTGGCTTCTTGGAAAAAGCAATAAGGCTGGCAATGGCAGTAACGAAAATACGTATCGATTAAAGACTGAAGCGTTGCTTGATCCGGTAGAACATCAAATTTCCTTTCTTTTGCCGCGTCGGAAGATGAAACACCTGGAATTTCATGCCCAGTGGTAGACGAAAGCCCCCAGTCGGCCTGGGGAGGCTCAAACCCCAAGAAGGATGAGGGCAATGCGCTGAAATAGATTGTTAACTCTGGGGGGTAGAAGACTTTTAGAACCGTGGAATGACTCTTACGAAGTATTGCTCAACATCTTGAGCTGTGACTCGATGGAAGCCACTCTGCTGGCTAGTGTTTGATCCTACAAGGGCAGGATGAGTAAGTATGGAACTGATATACATTATATGATATCGCATACATTTTCCCTAATACCGGGGGGTGTAGTTGGTCTCAGAGACGCAGTATCGAATCGTGGCAAGGTTGTTTCTGGGGCCGCAAAGAAAAGTCCGTCGTAATGGCAGGGTTGCTGAAGTCTAGCACAAAAAGCGCATACCGGCCTTTCTCCCGAACATCGCGTCTTTTTGCGTCTGGAAACATTAGCTTGTCGAGACAAAAAAACGCCGTTGCGCTCTCAGTTCATTTTCAAAGAATAGGAAGTTCGTAAGCTACCTGCAGTTCTGACACGCAAGACGGGCTCGCTTTTGTTGTCTCTCTGTCATCTTAGCTTCTTAAGTATGTGATGGAAGCTCTCTGACGCACAAGACCGATCGGTTTTGGCCAATTTATAGTAAATTGACTTAGGGACAAACGAGAGCCGATGATGTATTCAACTGAGCGTATTCATTGTATTGAGATGTCAGGTCTGGCATCTTTCATTGCTGTTTTTACTCGTACTCGAACTGTCATCCGTATTCAATTGAGAACGAATGGTGCAAGAAGATAGCGAGTGATATCACGTGCTGATTGTCCCGCACTTCGACAAGTGCTTTGTTAGTGCAGCGGATTTACCCCGCACGAATTTGATTGGTACGGTAAATCTCGGTTAAGAGATACTTCATCACTCTTATTAAGCACCGAAATGTTGATCTGTGCTTAACAAAACCAACCTCATCACAACTTCATCTAAAATTTGATGAGAAAGACCTAAAAACATAATCTCAAATGTAATGCGCAGAAGATAATGGACGGAGCGGTGCTTAACCTATAGCCAAACTGCACCAAGAATATCACCTATCAAAAATCACAGCCACACGACAACACACCCATCTGCATGTTATGCCAATGAAACGAGAGGACGATGATGAAAGTCCAGAATCTGCCCAGATCAAACACAGCCTCGCGGCGATCCAAAGATCTAAAAATTGTTCGTAGACCATACTTTCCTCCTTTCTTCCCTTATTTTTGGGCTGCAAGCTCATTGAGGCTCATCCTACCCTCTGCTCTCCACCAATGATATAGGGTAAGTGAGCGACGGCAATTTAACCGTCCACGCTGCATATGCAGACCGTTGTCTTCCCACCTTTAAATTGGCTTATATAGAGATTCTTTAGGGACCATAGAGGCCAGTAAGTCTCTCTACATGTGCAGAGATCATATTCGAGTTGAGGCAATGAAGACTGACAACCCCGGGCAACTATCTTGCCTAGGTATGTTTATATGATCATGCCCCTAGATTGACGTAAAAGAACCCCCATGTCTTAATTTATTTAATAGGTTTTAGGTTCTCTACAGTTGGAAAATTACAATAGATGGCCCAGTCAGCCCGAAAATAATCTTCATGTGAGACTTTATTTGCTTCTTCCAGTCATTTTGCTTGAGGAATGCTCTGATCTCCTTGTCTGTGAACCATGCTGTTGCTACCAGTCCAGTGATTTCATCTCCGTCCACCAACTTGCTACTTGAGTGCGTTGGCCCTCGAAGCGGCCAAACGCACGGATAGCTTAAGAATTGTGGTAACCTAGGTTTAAAGGGGGTCTATAACCTGTTACGAAGCTTTCCGTGAAGCACTCGGAGCATGCTATCGTCTGCCATCATATCAGTAATACCCTCCCAGATAGGCATGAGGTTAGCATCACGATGGAGCCTCACGATATTCTATTGTATATTTTCATTCTCCAAATACCCCACACCATCGAAGCATTCCGAGCCATCCTTCCTGGGCAACACTATGTAGCCCGGGGGCTTGGCCAAGGCCCCCGTCGGCCCCTTGCTTACCCCCCATAAACTTAGCAACTTGAACCTGCTCTGTTACATCCAGTAGGGCGGCAACGAAGAAGTTGAACAGCATGTTGGCCCTGTACTCTGTATGCATACGGTCCAAGGTGCGCATAAACGCTGTTCGCTCCCAGAGTGGCCGCTCGCCGGCACTGTGCACTTTAGTAAAAGCACAGACGATGCTGAGACCTCGGCCCCAAAGACCAACAGCTGTGAAACCATTGTGAATACGGGCAATGTTGAGGATCTCCTTGGGCCTCTACCGTCCTGGCCAACAAGCTAAGCACGTGCGATTCTAATTATAGCTCCGCGGTGGGAAGCGCACGGGTCCTTATCTTGTTCTTAAGTCGCTCGATGAGAACTCCGTTCGGATCTGTATCATTACCCAGTACGTCCCTACCTCTTGACCAATGTCTTTCTCATGGGTGCAAAGAGAGTGCTTTTACACTTTGCTCTCCTCGCCAGCATGACCATCATATTGGCGTCAGTGACACTACTGAACCACTTGAAACCGTCGATGGACCAGGGTCCGAGATGACTACTGTGAGTGGCTTGGACATTGAGCCCGTGGTTTGGATCATAGGTAGCAATACTCTCTGTGTTGCTGACATCGCTACCGCCAGGCCGCTCCGTGATCCATTGCCCAGTGGTCCAGGCAACTTCCGGGTCACGACTCACCTATCGTACGCGTTCTGGAGCACACTGCGCTGCTCAGCCGGTAGTGCAAGGCCATTCCTGTGCTTTCGGAGCAGACTTGTGACACCATCAACCATTAGGGTTGGACAGTTGACCCAAGCTGAGCTGCCGCACCAGAGGGCATACTTGGCAAAGTGATAAACACACGAGTACTCAGCCTGATGACTTTTATACGGAATTGTGATCATGCCCTCAGTGATATTGAGTGCCTGGAGTTTTTGCCATCCTTCTGTGCAGATCAGTTCGCCGCGGCGACGATCCCAGGAGTCAAATTGTTTGAGGTAGGGGGTATTGTGTTCGGCACGAGTGTCTAGTTAAGGACCTGGGGGGGATAACCTTGTCCCCGAAAGATTCGAGGTCGGGTGCGATGGCATTCAGAACGTCAGTAGGAACGAAGAGAAGCAGAGCATAACCGATGGTTTTGTAGCAGAAAGACATGCGGTACAAACGCATTGAGAGCGAGGGGAGTCGGGTATTTTCCAGACTAGTCAGAAAACAAATTAGTGACTGCGATATATGACGAAGAAGCGATACCCAGACAAGCCCCAGAATCCTCAAGCTAACCCATCCGCCTTCAAAATCTTGATGTTGTTGTGCATTTCTGCGGGGAAGTGGAAGCCCTTTGATATGGGCACGGCTTGAGCCGAGGCAACACGCGCTGACTCTAACCTGAAAGGGAGAATCTCCCCGTCCCCACTACAGAAGGAGCAGTTAGGGAGCAGGCCAGAGGCAATGTTTATTATTGTATGAAGCTCGGTTGACAGTGGCCTTGGGTTGACCGTCGTCTGTGTGATAGCCCCATGAAACTCAATTGATCAATATTATGACTTCTTGACGATCAAGTATTGAAAAATTCTGCAGTATCAAATTCTATACTTATGAATCACTTTATTCCTGCATTAGTTATATTGCCCTTTTACCCTTATGTTTATTTTGTATTTAATTTGAAAGTTTCGATGTCTAGAACTTGGCGAAAAGTGGCTATTGATACCGCTTCTACCCGAGGAGGAGCTCAGTAGAGATAACTTCAATAGACGCCGTTGTATTTCATGGTCCGTTCAAAGTCTCCATGCAAAAACGGCCTATTTCCCACAGCACGTACACTCCTTGGTATATTGCCATGTGTCTCAATTCTCATTTATTGTAATCCAGCATGAACATCGTCAGGGTGGACGCAACGGCTCTTTGCGGATCGTAAGTCACCTTGCGATGCTCCGCAATCCGTATTTCAAATATCCAAATTATTGCGAGCCACACATCTATCGCTCTGGAACAGGGTTCATCATGGATCATGGATTCACAAAAACCGTTGTCCAAAAAAGGATCTTCAGTCGTGTATGTACAAGTCGGTGACAAAGTCGTTGTCCCCATCATAGTGAAACCCCCAACCCAAATAGCAGTCGGGGAATCCGTTCATGTATTTGTGGAACCATCGACAGGACGACCAGCTCAGGCCGGAATGAGCCAAACAATGAGGAATGTGTTCGAGGAAATATATGCAAAAGAGCCATTGAATCGAGTATAATTATATTGGCGCTATTAATGGATGTATCAAGATTTTTCGGATGTGCCAATACGCTTAGCAGAAGATCACGTCCTACATTCAAATGTCGATAGCATCCTGTGATAGAAAGATCATCATGTGCTGTTCGTGGCTAGTTATCCCGAGGGGCTACATGTGTGTGCAGGGTCTTCGTTTTCTGCATCGTCATCGACACACGTATTAAAATCCAACTCAATATCCCTGTACAAGTCTGGGTCTGTGTTGTCAAAGATCAAATCATCCGTAAATCTTTTGTTACAATCTGTGGCGACATGAATCTCTTGGAGAATCTCTAATGTTCGGGCACACTGACGATGGCACTCATTCTCCTCTGACGCCACCGCTTGCAGGACATCCTTCGTCTCGCTATGCCCCATAGCAAGTGCCAATTTAATGATGCTGATTGTAGTCCCTGGAAGAAACTCAATGATTCCAAGATCTTGTGTGGTTTTTGCCAACCTCGATATTCTCTGGGCCGAATGATTTACCAGCATCCGCGACAGGGGTTTTTCGAATGGTGAGGTTTGAGGATCTTCCAATCGAAGGCGGTGGAGCTGGAGAATCTGGCCGTGGTATACCATGAGCAGCATCACACGGTAGATGAAGATGTGTTTATCATAGTTCATAGTTGTCGAGTCAAGAGAATAGGGTTGCGTTGCGTTGCATTGAGACGAGGAATCGTACCATTCCAATAGTTTTCTGTAGGAGTCTGCGAACGTCTCTGCGCTGACTGGAAACCTTTTCGGTGCTTGCTCATGCAACAATGGTTCTTTGGATGTAATAGTGTAGTGGCACTCGTTAATGAAGACACTGCCCTTGCAAAGCTTTATCTGGTCAATGCATAAATTTGCTAGGTTTCCTCTCTTGTTTGCATCTGCAATGTAAGGACAGATCGCATAAGATGCAGAGGGTATTTTCCCTTGTAAGTGCTCGGATTGAAAATCGGCCATCTCAAGTATCGGCACGTTGAAGTCACTGTCTCTGATTTGAGGCACTCGCTCCCCGCCCAGACATATATATCTGTCTCTGATGAAACAACACCACCATGTCCGGCGGCGTAGTCTTTGTCCAGTAATGGACATGGGAGGTTTGGAACGCCAAGGATCTGTATGAAGGCCGATAGCATAAGCATGCGAAACGGCAATATCTATCCAGTGGCCTGCGTTTCTTGTCCGGTCCAGTGTCTCATGCCAGAGTGACATCAACAACAGGATTTGTATAAGGACTAGTCTGTCTGTTTCGTAGTCGAAGTTATACAGAAGCTAGGACAAAGACTTTAGGAGAGAAACTAGATAAATTGGCCATAGGCATAATCTTACCTGAACCTTTCGATAAAGTGAATTCCGGGCTTCTGCTCTGGTAGGATACCCAGCCTTCTTTAAAACACGCATGTCGACGAAGGCTGACCCTGCAAACATGACGGCTTGAAAGAAGGCTAGGCTTACTCTCCCCGTGGTATCGTCGACCGTACTCATGGACTCTAAAAAGTCTTCTAAGTTGATCATGGGCAACATGGGATGGATGTACTCGAGATAGGCTCGAAGTAGAGCGTTTTGCATTTTAGGGGGCGGCAACGTAGTGGCCTCTTTGAGTCTCAAATAGTCCATGTCTTCGTGTGATAAATGTGCCGGTGCGGGCTTCATAAAGCACCCATAGTCAGATAATAACGGGTGTTGATCATCCCATGCATCTCGGCCGTCACAAAACTGGCGCGACCCCGATACATCGACAGACAGAGATGATGTGGAGGGCAAGAAATTGGTCGAACTTGCTTTAGCTGTGAACCACTCCACTACATTACCTAAAACGAAGTTAGCATCTCCATAAATCTGATGGAGCTTGTTTCAGAAGAAAAAAGGACGCATTCTTTCCCTCCAACATGACGTCTTCTCCCCAAGGCTCTTTGAATGAATCATCTTGCTGTGTCTGGGATGACGATGCCCACGACTCCGACGGTGGAGACATCTAACAAGTCTACATCAAATAGGGGTTCTCACGTTCATCTAATCGACCCTCTCCTCTAGAGAAGAACAATATCCATTAGAGGAGAGCTTCAAATCAGGAATAGTAATTCACCAACCTTCGCGTACGCCGGGGGGCGACTACGCATTCTTTGTCCCCCCACCGACAATTCGCACAAGGGTAGTGCATAGTCACATCGCACCTTACTCTCCGATTCCTGCAGGAGAAGCAGGCTCGTTTTGCTCGGCGGAAGCCTGTACGATTGGGCCGCTCTCGTTTCATGAAGGTCGCTTGTCCAGGAGAAGTTGGAGACGGGGAGTGCAGCGAGTGAGATTGAGCTCTGTTTGTTTCTTCAGCAATGTTGGAAGATGTATGGTTCAAATCCTGCGCTCCTTCTAGGGACATTGTAGAAGGTTACAAAGAGACCTTGGAACAGGAAGAGATGTCAATAACAGTAGCACTTGCTCATGCAAGGAGCAGACATCTAGCTTACGGTTTTTTCCCTTATTGGTATTCGATGATAGAATCCTCAACCTCAGGACATGAATCGTTATAGGATACAACCTAAGCAAACAGGAAATAATTCAACAGTAGTGCGCCGGAATTTAGTGGAAAGATCGACTTGGGGAAGTTTGCGGGAGATTTCAAAGTGGCCAATGACGCGGGTGGGCACGGCCCAAGCCGAGAACACAGACGGAGTTCAATGTTAGCTCAACCGTTGAGCTGCCACGCTACCCGCTAAGTTAGCTAATTGATGATGTCCTAGATGAGGGTGGGCCCGGTCCAAGCCGCAAAAAAATCGCGCCACTTGTAGTTGAACCCTGCGCGGGGGATACCGAAGTTCGAAGGCCTGATCCTGGGGATGTGTAAGCTAAGTGAGTATGTTGTATTGAAAGCAATCTGGGTCGATGCTGGGCATTCATCCATCATAAATCCGATGACCATTCCAGTTGAATAGTCAATATGATTCTACTCTATCATTCTTTTCATGCCGAATAGCCTTGGCTTGGCGTGACCCAAATACATTCCCATTACAGTCCTCCCCATTTAAGTCTGAAGATATGATAGGTTTTACCACTCAGTGAGAATTTATAACCCCAAATTTATCTTCATGACTACCAAGCTGCAGTCTCCCCCGACTTGAAGCTAAACTTTGTTCAAGAGCTGCTGGTTCTTGGATATGTGGACCTTGTTGTGTGTTGTGACACGTTTAGTAATTTCTATTGTCAATGCTTTGATTTTTTATTTTCTGTCACTATTGTTGTTGTTTTTTCTTTCTTTTCTTATACTCTAACCTTTACCCCAGGAGCAGTTTAGTTCTAGCAGGAGGAACTAAAGAGACATGCGGAAAATCCAAAGTCAAGTCAAGTCAAGCTGGAGTATCTCACCTCCCAATAAACACCATCTCTATCTCGTCGCACCTGACTTACATTCCGTCATTTCCAACAACAAATGCACTATCATCAGCCCTATATCTTATCTTTATATATTTTCCACTGATAGGCTATTATTCAATGGTCATGCCCTAGTCAGCGTGGTCGGCGAAAATCGGCGCAAGTTATCGCGAATGCCTGTTGCGGTTTACGGAGCTTTTCTCAATTCGTGAAACGAGAAGATAAGACTCATTGGATAAGCTGCGACGCCTTTGGATTGACTCCTACTCCACATCCGGGGCGCGGGTTGACTCGTGCGCGCCCTGAAGAACACAAGAGAACCATTTCGAGCATGTTGTACAACAGTCAGCGGTGTAAGTCTTGACATATATATGTAAATAGAAATAACCGATACATTAATTAAACACCACAGGAAACAAGTCGAGCCAGCATCAGCTCCAGCTCCAGCTCCAGCACCACGATACTACGTACCAGCAAAACATCATGGATATTACAAACGGAATTACTTTCAGAGACCCCCGGCCTGGGGACTTTGGCTACATCATACACCGCCACGGCCAGATATACTGCCAAGAGTACGGTTGGGACGGCAGCGTGGAAATCTACATTTGCCGTGCCATGATTGACTTTATGGAAAATTTCAACCCAGCCACAGATCAAATTTGGATCGCCGAGCGCAATGGCGAGTTCATTGGATGCGTTGCCGTATGTAAAGACAAACAAAGAAGAGACACTGCCCGCCTGAGATTCTTGATCGTGGAACCCACGGCTCGGGGGTTGGGGTTGGGCAAGCAGCTGATTCAAAAGACGATCGACTTTGCGAAGGGAAAGGGCTACAAAAAGATGGTGCTGTCGACACAGAGCATCTTGCTTCCAGCAATCCGACTATACACGGCAGCAGGGTTTCGCAAGCTATGCGATGAGGACGACGATCACTTCAAGCCTCACAATTCTCATGGCGAGCTTTGGGGGATGGACCTGTAAGAGCTGCATGGATTCGCGTGTTGTTGATAACGAGCTTTGCAGTTGTCATGGAGTGGGCAAGGAGAATCTTGAGAAAGCTGAAAGGTAGAAAGAAGGGCGGAGTCTGCGGGGCAACCAGATTATAAAGGGAGAAATAGACACGATATTTGTGGGGCTCGGTGTTGCACTAGATAGAGTTTTGGCTTAGAGAAACGAGGGGTTAGAGAGGTGAGAGGTCAGTAGATACTTGCAATTACACTCAGATCCCCTCAGTTTAGAATGTACCTCCCCCCGGCAGAGAGCTTGGGTACTAATGCTTTGCCCAAGAAACCCAACACCACTAGGCGAACAGTTGGCTAAGCCCTATACCTGCAGTCTTGTCATGCCACCGTCATTCGCATTGCTCGCCAGGCTTCACCCTTGCGTCAGTTGCTCCCTATGCTAATCGACATGGACACGGTTGACGAGGCTCCTTTCTCCTTTGAGGATTTCTTTTCCCATCTTAGTGACACCCAGGGACTCGACTTAGGCACTAATTCAAGCCCCTCTGGAATCAGTCCGACACCACCAGCTCGTGGGCCCGATTCGCATCAGCCCGACGGGCCTGACCAGCAAATTCCGCCATTCACACTCCAAGACAATGCAAACTCTTCCCGCTCTCAACAACTATATCCTAGTCCTGCAAAGAATGGGGCCCGGTTCTCCTCAACGTCACGCCGAGTTCTCAAGGATTGGTTTGAAAGCCACCCGCAGCAGCCGTATCCTACTGTCGGGGATATCGAGAGAATACAACGACAGACTGGTCTGAGCCGGCAACAGATATTAGGTTGGTTTTCTAACGCGCGAAGGCGGCGCAAAACCCAGCCCCGTCACCGGCCTTCGACCCCCATTGTTCGACCAGCCGACCTAAACTTAGATTCTTCTCTCGAGCAAATGAACCCACTGGAGAGATGGCAGAACTCCCCGCCTGATCAGGAACCCGCCGCAGCCTTCGCAATCGCCCGCGCAGTTGAGACCCAGGCACCGGCTTCACACCACTCTTCCGACTCCGAGAAACCCTTAGATCCCTATTGGGATAACTCGTCTGCGAGCAGCGTCATTGCTTCTTACTCCAGCGGCAGCTCGTTGGCATCTTCCCAATATGCTGCATCCCACATATCCAGGGATTCAGGCGGAAGCCACGGATCAGCGAGTACTCTAGAGCACCTTCGGAAGTCAATCAAACGTAGGCGACGCCGTGTCCCCAAACGAAGACCAGCCCATGACCTGCTCAGTTCCCTCACGCAAGTTGATCACATGTTCCAATGCACCTTCTGCACCGAGACCTTCAAAACAAAACATAACTGGAAGCGGCATGAACGTTGCCTCCATCTCTCATTAGAGCAGTGGGAATGTTCTCCATATGGTCCTACGATGTTGACAGATGACCAAGGTACAAATGCCTGTGTATACTGTGGGGAGCTGAAACCAGACCAGGAGCATCTAGTGAACCACAACCCAATGATTTGCAGCCAAAGGGCAGGACCTGAAAGGTTGTTCTATCGAAAGGACCACCTGCAGCAACATCTGAAGCTAGTCCATATGGCTGATTTCAGGAGATGTCCTATGGAGAAATGGAAGCAGGTGGTTGAGCAGGTACGATGGCGGTGCGGCTTTTGCGGCACCGTCGGAAATTCCTAGTCTAACAGAACAGACCATCTTGCGGAACACTTCAAGAACGGGAAGACAATGGCGGATTGGACGGGTGATTGGGGGTTTGAGGAGCATATTCTAGACATGGTAGAGAATTCCATGCCTCCATGTAAGCCACGTCTTCATCTCACTACCATGCTGACTCGTCCTGATCTTGAGTTCATATTAGACTTCATCCACGCCGAACGATCCTCGCCTTGGCCTTTCACGACTCAGCAAGGCCCCCCGAAACTCCAGTGAGCGCTTTCGACTTGCTTATGCTGGAGCTGGAGCATTACTGGATCAATTGTCTCAACACGGAACACCGCGAACCGTCGTACCGCGAACTTCAATATGAGGCCTGCTGCATCATCTTTGGTTCAGAATTACTCTGCCCAGTCCCAGTCGTTCCACGACCGTCGTGGCTCCGTGATCTTCTCATGTCATCTGAGGACATTTCTCAGCGCGCCCGCTTGCGGCCAGTGAAGGATTCGTCCAAGTTTCGGATCACACAGTTGCAGATACACGGAAAAGACAATATCTTTCAAGATTGTGGCCTGGAGATGGAGCTTCAGAAATATATTGAGACCTTTGTCCTATTGGAATTGATTATTGAGAACAGTGAGCTACAATCCGAGGCAGGAAGGATCGCTCTCAAGTTCGGGGAAGCCTCATCCATTCATTCCGAGATATTCATCCCATTTCTTAATAGTCTAATATCTGGCTCTACGGGATGGCTTGAAGCATTTCGCCAACGTGCCGGGTTGTTACCCGTTGAGAGCGCTTCTCTCTCGGCCATGAACCCAACATGCACGTTGGATTCTCAAGTATTTCTGGAGCGACCATTTTTAGAAACACCAGCCGACCTTACCAATGAGACACACGAAAGTGAAGGAGCCTTAGTATCCCCGTCACAGGCCACAAATGCAAAAGCGCCCTCCTCGTTCCTTAACGACAGCAATTGCTACAGACGCCTCTCCAGGGAACTCTCACGATACGTGGCAAGCACCACGTCGTCGCGGAACCCGGCCCAACACATCCCCTCGGATGAAGAACTACGGCATCATGCGCGATGGATCATGTTCCAAGAGTAAGTACAGTCTGCTTCTAACTTTACTCTGCTCTTTCGCTGATTATTCTCTTTGCGTAGTGACGATCCATGGAACCAAACTCCTGCTGATAACCCGTATTGGCTGCTTGATTTCAAGCGTGAAGTGGGCTTACAAACTGATGATTCGGTCTAACCGTAGTAATCATTCGGCTCAGTGGCTCACCTTGAATTAGCAAACTTATCAAAGGCTATTACTACTTCAGCATGGTTGAGAATAATTTTTCCGTCGTCTCCATTTATCTATAAATGACTTATTGATAAAAATATCTAATCCTAGAAATCCTGCTACCAAAGTCTTCTTAAAGTCTCCCAATAAACTCGTTTATATCTATCCCATATCCTTTAGGACTTGCAATGGCCATTGCAACCATGAATGATGAGCTTCATCAATCGCAGCCCGGACTCCCGAAAGAATATGGTCCGGCCAACCAGAGATGAACCAGAAAGTTCCCAGCGTCTTCATTGGAACAGTGAAATAAGCGAAGATCAGAAGAGGAATAGTCATCTTCTCCTGCAAGCGCCGAACAAAGTCCTTTCGCAAATAGTATACCCATATGAAGACCATTTGGTTTTTGGTGTGGCCATTACATGTTCCGTCTGGCCTGCCCCAAATAGCCTCGTAGCACAGTTGCAAGCTTCCAAGGGCCTCCAAATTTTCCGTACGATAGAGGACATCGCTAGTTTCTACGTATGTTCGTAGATGATTGAATTGGTCTACCCAGTCCACGTATCGCAGGTGCTCTCTTGATGCATATGGCTTATCGACTTGCTCTGGTCGACATAAGAAGCCTGCCAATGGCCCAGAGAATACCTGGCTGACCCCTACCTCGCCGAGGATAGATTTGATGCCCTGGAAGAGACCAAGCCACAAAGGAAAGCCGCTGTTACAGAAAAGAAGGTATTCCCCTGGCTGCGGCCCATATGCCAGTGTAGTGATGGAAACGAGCACAGCTGCGGCAAAGACTGCCTGGCAGTTGTGCACGTCAACAGAAGGCAGCATTGCAACCAGACCACGAATGCCTGAAGAGGAGAGACGCCTTGCCATTCCCTGAAAGTGGCTCTGTTGCTGGGGCTGCAGGCGTGCAAGGTGAGATGCGATAGAGCACCGGCAGAAGTCCAGGATAACAGGATGCAGAATTCTGAGTAACGAGCCGGAGAACTTTGCAGCAATGTCCTCGCGGGAACTCACAACAGCTGCATCACCGGACCATGTCAGGCAGTCAAACAATAGACGATAGGATTGAATTGTTTTTGGAGAGTAGGGCGGGAAAGTACGAGAATCGGAGGGGCCCGAAGGTGATTTGAACAGGGTCAAGGTGCTTGTCGACCAGTTGGAGGACCTCGGCCGGCCACGTCCCTGGTGCGGCCCGGGGCCTCCGTTGATGAGAAATGTCCAGCCTTGGTCAGGCATCCCAGGTGAGAGCGGGGAGTACGAACAATCAACACCAAAATCATGGCAGTTTTGGCATCCTGGCTTGCCTTCATCGCACTACCCAGACGTGTGCTTCAGCACTCGGTGCACCTCAATGACACGCATGGTTGGCTGTCCTACCTTGATCCGCCTCCTTTTACAGACCGCACATCCTGTCCGGGCCTTCCGATGTGACCTCCGCAGCGGAGTTTTGTGGACGATTGCTCGATCGTGGTTGCTCATGATAGCGCTTGAAAATTTATCAAATGGTATGTGTGGCTTTGGAAAGTTGGACGAGGCACACAGGAGTCAGGACAGCATGACATGACTGCTTTGTAATCTCGGAAAGGGAACGATGTCAAGAGCGGTGCTAAGCCGGAAATGGTATATTTACGTATCTGAAGCACTTTGATTGGATGTTACCAGACGCTGATCTGAAGCTACAACCCCACCACCATTTATTATTGTGTCTACGGAGTAACATACTAGATTAACAGCCCAAGCTAGAAATATAAAAGGGCCATTCTCAATCGATTTCTGAGCCCATCTATTGTCATCACTATTCTTCTTCTTATTTCAAAGAGAACAAAAAAACCATAAGAAGCCTCGTCAAAATGAAAGTCATTGTGGTCGGAGCTTCAGGTGAGACAGGAACATCTGTTGTGCACGGTCTTCTCAAGTCCCCCGAAAACATCGTACGTGCCTCATAATTCTACCGTGAAGCATCGGCATGTTATGAACAGCTCAGCTAATACACACTTTCTCCACGTATAGGAAGTGACTGCTCTCGCTCGCAAGTCCTCAGTGGATAAACCAGAGTATCTCGCACTAAAGGACCTCGGGGTTACTCTTTCTACAGTAGATCTCAGCACTGTTAGCGATGAACTTGTTGCACTGCTCACTGGTGCCGACGTCGTCATCTCCTGTTTGACTTCTGGTAATACAGAACATGTAGAAAACCAGAATAACCTTGCTAGTGCTTGCAAAAAGGCCTCTGTAGGCCGCTTCGTTCCGAGTTTCTTTGGGCCTATATGCCCCCCTCGAGGAATAATGTTGCTTAGAAATCTGGTGAGTAATTGGACACATAACTCGGCATTTCAAGACTTTAGCAAATCAGAGAATCACTAACCAATCAATCTATGTAACAGAAAGAAGACCTCCTTGATCATATCAAGAGCATATATTTGCCTTATACGGTCATTGATGTTGGCTGGTGGTATCAGCTCTCACTGCCCCCTCTACCTTCGGGCAGGCTTGCAGATGCCCTCACCATGCCCGTCCAGACTATCTCGGGCGATGGAAACACCGAGACTGCTCTGATCGACAAACGAGACATTGGAAAATACGTGGCTCGGATCATCGTGGACCCACGCACACTAAACAAATCAGTATTTGTATTCAACGAGATCTGGACCCAGAATCGCATCTTCGATCTGATGGAGAAGTTGTCTAGCGAAGAAATACCCAGGAACCATGTAGGTTTTGCCAATTATCCAATCCTTTCATACCTTTCAACCACCCAACTCTGAATTAACCCCGACCGCAACGATGTGCTAATCACCTTCAAGGTCAACAAACAAGTCCTTCAGTCCAGGATTAAGACTGCGAATGAGGCTGTCGCTGCAGGCGATAATGCTCACATCAGAAATTTAGTAGTGTCCCAGTATGAGTTGGTCCTAGGAATTCGTGGAGATAATTCTCCAGAGTGTGCCAGGTATCTGGGGTATCTAATTGGGAAAGACTTATACCCTGACCTTCAGGGTGAAAGTCTTGAACAATTCATGAAGGACACACTAGCAGGGAAAATTGGGCGCATATATGCAGGGCGTCATTAGTGATCTGGTCAAGAATCAGAGGGCCTGCTACATATACCTTTTCTATGGACTCTTTCACAACATCCAATGCTATATATCATCTGATTCTAAGGCACATTTATACGGTGCTATAAGTTCACACCTACATAGCGCGGATGCAGTTCCCACTGTTGCCGAGATGCAACGAGTCGTGAATCATAGAGATTTCGCTAGCTTCGAGGTAGACTACCTAGTCTTTGTTAAGTCTTATTCCACCGTTGACTGGAAACAACACCTCCATCCACCAAAATATCGGTTCCTGTAATGAAACAGGACGACGGGTTGGTCAGGAACACAACCGCGTTGGTGATATCTTCTGGTGTACCCACCCTGCCTGCAGGAGATGTTTCAACAAATTTTGCAGCTGGACCGGTCATCATTTCCTGGCGACCAAGTTCTGTAGAAATTACACCAGGGCTCACCGAATTGATTCTAGCTCCTTTGTTGCCCCATGCCTTGGCCATGGATTGCACACGGAGTAAGTTGCCGCGTTTAGAGAACGCGTAGGCCATTCCTGCTGCATGTGCATCAGAGCTGTCGACCTTGAGATCCGAGTGGCTCAATAGTTGATCCCGTGAGGCCGTAGCGAGATGTTTTTCCAGTTCGGGCTCCAACGGTGGGCAGAGATAACCAGCCATGCTAGAGATGCAAACGAGACTCGTCCCAGGTCCCGCGGCAGGAAGGAAAGCATCAATTACGTTGGCGGTGCCAACAAGGTCGATTTCGTAAACGCGGCGAGCAGAGCCCGCTGAGGGCCCTACCCCGGCAGTGTGGATAATGGCTTCTATCGGTCCCATTGCTGCGGCCTTTTGGGCGAATTCTTCAACGCTGGTGAAGTCGGATATGTCTACTTGCAGGGTGCTGATCGAGTACCCCTCGCCAGTCAAGACTTTTTCGGCAGTGGAGAGATTGGTACCGGAGTAGTCTCCTAGAAGAACTTGTCTTCCAACACCAAGCCTTCGTGCGATGGGAAGGCCCATGCCGCCGCTCCCAATAACAACAATAACATTGGAAACCATGATGCGCGGAAGGTGTTCCAAATTTATTCGGCAGAAATTCTATTCAATCCGAGGATAGAAAAGGTAGAAAAGAGGAACATCAAACGGAAACCAGAATTATACGGGATTCGCTGGCCAATGAGGAGGGTTCGCCTTCGGTTTCGCTTTCGTTCTATACCCTTGCCTTGATGTCAAGCAAGTGGGGAAATGAAGATTCCCGAACTGACCCTCACCCCTAGCGTAACCGATAATTTGCCGGCAGCTCGGTGTTAGAGGCAGTTGGGCCGTCTTCAAAAGAAGCATCTTACCCTATAGCCCGTTCATGTTGATAGTACATGATCCAATAACCAGCAAGCTTCGACATAAATTGATTAAGATAATATATGTTAAAATAATTTACAACTTAAAGCCTTTGGGTAACATAATCATTTTCTTGCAGCGGGCCCAGTCTGTGAGGGAGAAAGTGCTGTGTGTACGAGCCACCATGTGTCTAGGTTTAAAAACAATTACAAAACCCAAAAATTCACCTGTAGTGAGAAATAGAGGTTTAACCCATGACCTCAACCCAATACTTCAGCTGAGCAGTCCTGCTGAGTTACCCTGTACCTCTTACCTGGCATTCACGAATTTTAAAACATTTGCATACCAAGCACGGCGGACGGATGGGTCAGGGGCAATTCACGTCAACATAGAACCTGGAGTTGTGTCATTGTCACGGCCACCCAGCATTTCGCTCTTCACATCACATTCCAGCACTTCCGACCTTCCCGATGCTATGCGCAATACGAGAGCCGTGCGTCCTGAGACCATTTGATCGACAGTCCCTGCAAGACATGTTGATTAAACGCTACTATATATAGTACGTCGGTTGAATCAGTAAGATTATGAATGTCACCGAATACAACGCCACACTAAACATAGTAAAATTAGACGTAAGAATAACTTGCACAGGTACTACGAATAAAAGTATGTTTTACGTAGTTAAAACCTTGAGCGGATACTTCCTAATTAAGGTTTCCTAAGAGATCGCTTTATTAAACGTTGAAGCAACATCAACAATGTCAAGCTTCAAGAAACTCTTTCTAGGAGTAACTCTCCTACCCAGTCTCACTCACCAAGCTGCCTACAACCCAACCGAAGCAGATGACTTATCTGTCAGTTTTGACGATGCTCAAGGTCTAAATCCACGAGAAATTGAAGTATCAAGGCAGTTCTGGACCGAGACCTCGAGATTCGTCGGGGAGGTGGTGGTGGTGGCCGCGGTGGTTCAGGAACTACTAGCGATGGCTTCTCTGGCCACACACCGGGTCGTGGTGGTGGTAGCGGTCAGGGTAGAAGTAGTACACGAAGCCTTGATATTCGCAAGGGGCTTGGTGCTTCTAGCGGCAGGGGTAGACACTTTTGAGAGGCGGGGGTAGAGTTAAACAAATGTCCCTCTTACTCTATTGGACGCTTTATTGATGTTTCGCTATCTCAAGCTCATCGAGAGCATATATACAATCCAGGTAGCATTTTAGCTCGCTGAACTAGAGTAATAATTTAATTCTATAGTTGCAATATCCTTTGCTTATATTTTGATGTCTTGTTGTTGAGATATGTAAACCATCCCTTAATAACTAAGGATATTATCCTAGCAGGCCCGTGTGATTCTGTTATCGTTCTATGTTTTGTGGGCGGTCCTTAACGGTAGCTTAATCCTGCATCTGTCTTCATACCTACACAGTCAGGCATGAGGATAAGTGGACTGCTTCTCCTTTTAGTGGCCGCAGTCATGAAGAATCTGAGTGCTTGTACTAACACTGAAAGCTAACATGAAGGGTATGCTCGCCGCCTTTATTCTAGTCGCATGTGTGTTATCCCAATAATGTAACGAATGGGGTGGCAATCTTGTCTTCATACTTGCAAGCGGATCCGTGGTCTACACCACTTTGTTTATAATCATAGTTGGCGCTTCAGATACTCGATTTTGTCGCCATAAAGTAATACGCTCTGTTGTCATTAGGCTAATGCCTCACAAAATAGAAAGGCTTGGTGAGTACGTGAGGTAGACGAGTTGATACAAGCCTGTAAGACCCATGTACTAGTAGTGTTCTGGTTTTCTTGCAACTTAGGTTGAACAAGAGTCCAGATATAGTCGTCAATAGCACATAAACCTCCTACAGTCTCTAAAGCGCAGGGCTTTACGAGAAGGCGTCTCATATTAGATTAGACTGTGGTAAGGCAAAAGTGATACAGTATCTAGATAATTTTGGCAGTACTGTAGCGTGGTGGTAATTTTATAACTAACAGGCTAGGTAGAGACGCAAGGGTCTAAGAGAGATCACGTGTGGATCTCAATACCAAGATATGTGTTTCCACTACCAAGCTTAATCCACTTCAAGATCTATTGTTTCATAACATGTATATAGCTATGTACAATGATGCCGTTATGTAGTACATGGCCCCTTTTCGAGAACAGAAACTATTCAGTTGATCAAGATATATCTGTTGGTGAAATGTTCGCGCCGGCTCGCTTTTTATGAGCGTAGTTGCGAAACTCCACCTACGATGAGGATACATGTATTGAGGATGTGTATCCAGACCGAGTCGACCTCGCCTTTATACGATAGCAATAAGTATGTGTCTGCGATCCCTGCAATCGCCCAGCTCGTCATGAATATACCAATTGCCCTGCGCTGGCCCGCTAAAACTAGCCACCACAAAGCAACTCCAGCTGCTAAGGTTCGGCCACCAAAAGCGGGGACGAAGACAGCCATCTCATTGCTGACCTGTTTCACTCCAAAGAGCTGCCCCATGTGTGTTGGGTTTAGAAGGCCATTTATCCCAGCACCAGTAAGAAAGATTCCAAAGTATGCGTTAACATACTTGAGCACACCCGGTGGGATCATTCTCGGAATAGGGAAGGCGTACGAGAACTAGAGATAAAGAGGTTTGGTTTTAGTAACGATCCCGTACCAGGGAAGGTATCGCAATTGTAAACAAAGTCAAACAAATCAACTTACTCAGAGGGGAGAGTCGAAGATTTCACGCCCGAAATAAAAGATGCTGGTTTTTGTTATACTAATAACTTGAGTCAAGAAGTTAGCTTGTTCGCTAAGACTTGAATACTTATTTCATCTTCGGACATACTGAAATGTCCTAACTCCATGGCGATTAACTATTAAGCAGTATTCACTTTAATGTCCTCCCTATTCAATATTCCATTCATCTAGCCTGGTATTAGTAGATTGGTAAGCCCAGCGCGTTGGGACTTGGCATGTCAGACTTCACATTACTAATAACTCAAGATCCACTACTCCCAGCCACCCTTTTCCCGACTCGAAAAGCTAGCGATTCCCACTCTTGATGAGTTGTTCCATTTAGAATTACACACCCATAGCCACTCTCTATCCCTCAGAATAAAGCATGAAAAGAAGAGCACTTCCAACTGCCAATTCCCATGTAAAATCAAAACCCAAATCACCTTGCTACCGCTTCAAATCTGCACATCAGGCTATGAAGACTATTAATGCATCACTTCGCTTGTCTTCTAGTTTTAAGCCCCTGATTCCATCGTATGTTTTATTGTCACCTTTAGAGGATAGGAAGACAACCGCATCAGGAGCCGTGGTATTTCCACTTTGGTGATACTGACAACGATTATTAAGAGCATAATGACAAACGGTGCGATGATTCCCGTGGAGGCAATATAATTTATGTCTTATTCTTCTAAGATAGTCGCGCGTATTCCCCCCCCCCCCCATCCTGTGGTATACGCACATCGCTAGGTCCCTTCTTATAGATGAAGCTTGCTGCATAAACCCAGGGTATAAACCAAGGTATCAATTGCGAAGGATCCTTTTAGAGGCCTAGTCTAATTCTGGGTGATGGCTGACGATGCATGAGACCCAGGGTTAATCCTGTCCTTGTCCGACATCCAATTGACATAGGCTAGCTAAAACGTCACAACCCAGGCAGAGATCTATCAAAGCTTATAGGATGTTA